CATCTTATAAATACACACAAGACATAGATAATTTTAAATTGCTAGCCAGTAGCTAGTGAATACCTATGCATTGCTATGGAACAAGTTATTAATTGATTTAAACCTCACTTCTCAACAACAACAACAACAACAGAAGCAAATGAGAAACTAGCAGAGATACATCGTTTTATTTACAATGAACAATAAGGATCATGCGACAATATAGCAGTAAGATCTGTAACAATTTATTAAAGAATCTGAGATTTTGTTATACACCACATGTGTGTTGTGTACAGGCTTTTATTAGTGAAATTAAATCAAGCTATAAATGAATTACAAATAAAATATGATGACATGTATTAGATCTCATACATAATTAATCAGTAAACAGACACGAAGGAATACAGCAGTTGAAACGCGACACGATGAGGTTAGTTTTTGTTTTCTTGCGCATATCTTCTGTAGATCAGAGAGCAATAGGCAGGTTTTGCTGCGCCTCCATCATCATCTGTTCTTCATTCTCAACCTCTATCATGCTGTTGATGATGATTTCAGAAGCACCATTCACAATATCCGACAAACTCCTGCATATTAAGTTCACCAGAAAAAGAGCACGAAAAACCTAATCAATATCTTTCTTTAATCAAAATGTTTTACTAAATTGACTTAATTTAGACGTAAAGATCGAGGACTTACCCTTTAGAGGAGTTGTAATTGAGTCCCACGGTGTACTTTGCCTCCTCAAGTGCCCACCTGAACCGCCGGAGCTCCTCACCGGAGAGCTTGCCGTCGTTGAGAACTTTGAGCTGAGAGGGCTTAACGTCGCAGAAGATAGGGATGACCTTCTTGCGACACTCCATGAGGAGAGCGAGCTCGTGAAGGCAAAACATGGACTCACAGTAACGGGGAGAGAAGATAGCAACACCGACCTTACACTCCAGAATTGCACCATTAATTTTCTCGAACAGCTTGTCTCCTGGTTTCATCGTCTTCGTGTCCAGAAAAGGATTGAAGCCAACCCTACTTAGGTGGTCGTACAGCAACGTGGACACTGTCTTTTTAGTGTCTGTGCTTCTGTGGTTCAGGAACACATCGCACGGCTTCATCACTCGCTTTGCCAGCTTCATGATTGAGTAGGAACGATTCATTCTTCTTCTTCTTTTTTTCTTGGGAAAATAAAGGGAACAATTATGCAGACCAGACAAATATATTACCTTCTGTCTTTCTGTATGCTTTAAGGTTTTGTGTGTATGTTATGTGAGGTTTGTGAAATATATATATAGAAACAGATTCAATATAATATTGACGTTTGTGAATTTCCTCCTCATTTCTTATTTTTGGACCATTTTTTTTAAAAGTTTTCTTTTGGTGGTTTATTCAAGGGGTAGTTCTACCCGGTGAATTGAATAGAAAACCAGGAAACCCTATGAACGTATTGAAAATAAAATATTTTATGGTTATATAACGATATGCAAATCTCGATCAGAGCGAAATAACTATATGGCGTTTGACTCCCTCCAGGCTACATGCTTTTGGAGCAAGTCAGGCACCCTTCAAAGACGTTTGTCCCTTTCTCTCAATGTGAATATGAATATGAGACACATGTACATATGTGGGGTTTCCTTTTGAATCGTTAAAAGTATTTAAAAAATGAATATAATATTATTATGAGTCAGTTAGGCATGTACACCCCTTTATGTATAAATTCTCATTTTCTGTGCAGGCTCAAGGTCAAATTCATGAAACATGTAAATGTAACAGAAATACTATCTTCGGTCCTTAATATAAAACCCTATTTGACTTTTATTTTAGTCTTAAATATAAGACCCTAATCCACTTTGTCTCTCATATTTATACATTTTTTTTCTTCAAAATAGCTTTTCTAACAATGATAGTTCTAGTCAATATACTTGATTAACAAGGATATTTTAGAAAAGACAACACCTATTTAAGACAAATAACTAACTCAACTTACTTTCTTAATCTCCTCAAATTAGTCAACTGGCTCTTATAATTAGGACCGGAGGTAGTATATATAAAGTAAGTCCGAAGTTTTTATTTTAATGATTATTATTTGTCGATTTGTTTATTCACTTTTAGATCAATCAGGGGCGACTTAAAAACTTGTTGAATAGTTTCACTGCGCATGGAAAGCAATTCATATTTAATTTGCCTCCTTGTGAGTTTGAACATTCCGTCGTCTTAACTAATACGAAGGTGCAGACACGAAGAAAAAGTTTTCAACAAGTCAAACGTATTAACATACCAATGTTGTTGATCGATCAATGTCTCTATTAGGACACGTAGTTGTCAAAAGCCACTAAGGGGCTTCTCTTTTTTTTCCTTTGACTGTTTGAATTGATAATTTCTGGTCACAGCTCAAACAGTTTCCTTGTAGTGTGGTGGTCATGGAATTCTATATATCAAAACAAATTTAGAGAATATACACACGCGCATAATGAACGGATACAAGTATATATGTGTTTTTTTTTTTTTTTTTATATGATATGATTATATTATATGCTCCCTCTAGAATCTAATATAAGAGCTAATTAAAAGTTGAATTTGATTGTAAACATAGAACCTTAATTTACTTTACCTCCAATATTTATTATTTTTTTAAATTAATTTACCTGAGTTAATTTGATATATAATTTAATATTTTATATGAGTATTTTGAGAAGATTATACCATAAATTTATAATTAATTAACTTTTATAATTTTTTTAATCTTCTCAAATAGCTCTAATGCTTAAAACAAGAACAAAAGCAAGTATAAGATATTTCATTATAAATATTAGCAAGTATATAATATATATGGTATGTGCTAGAACTTCGAACTGTCAATTCTGGATCTTTTACCTGATGCCATGACTCCTTTGAAAACCCTCTCTCTCTCTCTCTCTATATATATATATATCATGCTCTTTTGATTTAATTAATAACTATGTAAAACTAATCAATTCATATAACTAATGTCACTTTCAAATTAAATCAGAACATGTACAAGTATACCTGGAATATTGATGTGTTAATGATAAGTCACATGGAACAAAGGCAATGGACAGGCCAAATGGTGGCTAGGGTTAGGATTAACCCCCTCGCTACAAATAAGATTTACAGAACATTAAATGACATAAATGACCCCAATCTATATAAATGTTAAATAGGATCACTACTGCTAAAATTTTAAGGTATATGAGTTGGGTTTCTTCTAATTAAAATACATGATTGATTATCTCAAATTATTATAATTTATTTAATAAGATTCAATATACGTTAAGCGTGACATATCATATGCTGGCATATGTAGTAGAAGTTCCCACCTTTTCAGTAAAAAGTTAAGTTCTCAGCATTTATGTTATCATGTATGGAATAAATCTAATTAGAAGGATCTTTTTACTCTCTATAGTTCGATAGAGAAAAAAGATGATAAACATAATTATTTATTTATTTAATATTTACGGGAAGGGAAAAAATATTCATAACGATCAATGATACAGTTTTCTTAGGCTTTGTGTGATTATTTTTCATCTTCCTCCACACCATACTAAAAAAAAAGTAAATTGTAAGTTATTCTTCTGATTCTTAATATAAGACCTATTTAACTAATTTGATTAAATTAAGAAAATGATGTAAATTAGTTAATTATAAGAAATATGACATGTTTTTTTTAAAACACCGTAATCATCTTCCTTAATATCCTTTCTCCCTTTTTATTTGATTATAATTGAAGGAGCATCCATAGGAGTAATTTAGAAAAAAAAAAAATATAAGAAATAGGTCTTATATTTATGATAAAAATAAACTCAACAATAAGTCCTATATCAAGGACGGAAGAGTATTATTTATCTTCTCAATCACACAAGGCCAAAAAAAAATCTCAAATTTCCCAATCTAAAACCAACTCAATCAGTAATAGCGGCACAAAATATAAATAAAAATTTACGGCTGAAATTCTCATCATATTAAAACAAAAATCAATAAAGAACTACTAACAAAAATTTATTTAATTAATAAAGAGTTATCTCATAACCTATAAAATTTTGAATTTGAATTTCGTTACCGATAATTTGTAAATATATACTCTAGTACGTCTCTATATCAATTCACTTAAACCTTTTTGTCAAAAAAAAAAATCCCCAATAGAGAGCTTTTGGCCTTTTGCTGAAATAAATGAGCGAACCCTAGGTTTTACAATCAGTCTGGGAAGCGCCGAATCCGAATCACGTGTGCAAATTTAAGACCATTATTAGTTTATGTTTCTTGATGAAGTACTCGGTTACCGATCTTATCAGTTATCAGTATATGCTGGGATCCAGTTTAGTAGGTCTAAGAGCATTAAATTAGCGAGATCCTCCTCCCCCGTCACATTCAATGAAGAGCTAACGATATTCTGATCAATTTGGATTCAATTTCCTGGAAGAAAACGCACACGATAGTTGTACTAACACTGCCAATTCCTTTACTCATACTTTCTGACTGAAACCCGTAAGAGCAAAGATTATTTAACTCAGATATTAATAAAAGTTTGCGTAGCTTTGAAGACAAGTTTGAGTTTTGACTCTAACCAAAACCCTAGAAATTCTGTAAATGACTTAATACAAATATGAACTAAACCCACGATGACGGAAACACGTAAGGACTACGGTGACCATTTTTTACTGTGGAAAATTGCTCAACCTTGGGGGTTTCTTAAAATCCACTATACTAGATGAACACAGACAAGTTTTTTCAATTTAGTTGCAGGATTGCAACAGGGGTTGAAGGTTAAACAACTATTTAACATCTCGTACTATTAATAAACTATGAACTTTAACCATGCCCTTGGCCCTTTAGGGATTCAATTCAAATCTATATGAATGAGATCATAGCAATTCACATGTAAAAATTTCAGCAAAGGTCATGAATCCCAAACCAATCCAATATCATAATTAGTGATCCCTCATGTTATCTGCAGAACAAGGCTTTCTGTCCATAAAAGTAAATGGAATAGCATGCACTATTTTACATAGAAAGTATTAAAATATAATTCCACGTAATGACTTCTTTGAAAGGGAATTCATAGTTATACATGGTTATTTTAGTCTTGTTTTGAGAGGTTTACTGATGCAGTATTACATATGAAAAACTTTTAATAATAACACACTACAGAGCATTTCCAACTATATAAACTTTTTTTTTGTGTGGGTATATTCTATTTTTCTTTTAGGTTACAATCAGAAACACCTTTGAGCAACTTCCGCCGTTAAATTGAGATTGCATTCTTTCTCCTTTTTCTTGGCACTTTATGGCAAGTAAAGATGAGAGATATAATCAAACGGGAAAATAAGCAGCCCCCTTGTATCTTCTGAGAATCTTAAAAAAGCCACAGTCCCAGCAACATCTAACTAGTTTCCTTTTCTTCATTCAAGGAGTTTTCTTTCATTTTTATTTCTCTGCTACTTGGCATAGAAGAGGATCTTGTGATTGTTTCTGCACTGAAATTGAACCTTACTGCTGAAGAAACTGAAGCAGAGGGGCGAAGGAGTGGGGTGGCAGCCCTACTCGAAGTTTCATTTGCAATGGGCGATGGGGAAGCAGCAGAAGCAGTTACTGGCTGCATTCCTATTTCGGTACCAGTGGCAGTGTCAGGGACATCCATTAAGCGATCATCTTCCTCGACAGACAACACTGTGCTCGCATCAGTACGTATGGTGGAATCATCAGTGAACATACCGTGTCTTCTCTTCTTCCTAGCTGCCTTCCCCCATCCATGAATTGTCTCCCTTATCCTATGTGGAATCAGGGCAGCCTTATAGTTTGTTCCCATCTGCAACAAGCAAGGGAATGTTACCACTCATGTGATCAGACTTCTCAACCAACATTAAGCAGATTTTAAACCATCAATCATATTTCCATAACAATAGTCAACTCATTGTTGTCACTAGTTGTTTTGCCACTCTCCTAGTTGACAACTATCACTGTTCATTAACCTTATTAATCATACAGCTTCTGCTTGAGTTGACGCGATCTATGGTATCAGAAAAATGCTTTTGAACATTTGCATTGCATATAATATTACCTGGGTTACTAGTGCGTAAAGAGGCAAGGTGCTATAACTGCAGAGGAATTGTCCCGCAAACCTATGGGGTTACATACAAGAAAAGAAAAAGGAGCATGTAAATAATTTAACATCATCCACGTTAACGGTATCATTGTCATAAAATAAATTTCTGCATACCCCAATATTAGCCTTAAATACACAAGGAGATGATTCCTAATAAAGCAGGAATTGTACCCAAATTGCCACTGCAGTTAAAAAGGACATTTCAATCAACTGAAGGAAGAGAACATGAAAAATGTAAATGTTCTTTTTTTCTCTGTATTTCTCACGTCCGCTATCTTGTTCCCATAAGTGCTTTAGCATATCTAAGTTCACCTAAAAAAAGGGTAGCCATTATTATCTAAGTGCACGAACATCAGCCTTTGTTCTTATTCATTTATTTGTTATGGTCTGCTATCTTGTTCCAATGAGAGTTTTACCATTATCAAGTTCAGCTAAAAAGAGTAACTACGGTTACTCCTTATTCTTGTACTCCAAGGCCTAGACCCTAAATCTTAATATGGATAAGAAAGTATACCCAGAACCAAAAGAACGAAGCCAATTCAAATGCATTCTGCAAACAAGGAAATCAAAGAGGTGCTCATCAGCAGCTGATGGTTGATAACAAACTTTAGTAACTAAATAGTAATTGCAAATGTAGACGGACCATTGCTGACCTGGAAGAGAATAAAGTGGATCAAGGACAGCAAAAGTTCAGGTTTGTTAAACCAGAAAAGTTCATCACGAGGCCTCAACTCAGTTCCGGGTAAAAAACCAGTAATTCCTGAGTTCTCCAGTGCCAAGGTTGCAATGACATGCTGGAGCTTTGTTCCCACCAAAAGAACCAGCTGTGAGGAACACGTAACACATGATAGAATTAACATAACACGTAATTAAAATTTGTGTATACATCATTTCTGACGCGGGAAGTTTTTAGATGATAGGATCCAAACCCTCTTTATGCACACAGCCTAACACTTTAAGAAAGTCAGGCCATCAAACACGTGAATGAATAGGATAGAATATGAAATGGGCGCTCATGAATAAGAAAAAGAGAGAAGGGAAATAAGAAATCTAACTTACAGTAATAGGAATGATAGCTATCCAGAAATAGAGATTAGATCCTGTCAGAGACCAAATAACACTAAACATAAGAATTATCCAAAATTAGATATAATCTGACTAAAATGATTCAAGGAATTCCGTAAAACAAAAACAGTAAAGTGGAAGATTTGACCAAAGAGAAATATCCATAAGAGGGATATTTTTCTGTTTTTTTTCTAGCAGAGGGGACGTTAAGGGTTTTCTTTCCTGGTTCCCCCCACCGCCAGGGGAGGGGAGCTGTAAAAATTCATGTAAAAAAGAAACTAAGTTGCTTCGCATCGTGCTTTCAAACAAGAGGTCATACCTTTAATGTTGAAAAGCATGAAAGCAACAACAAACCCCCAGAGTGGGCCGCTGCAAGAGATTTTGCGTACAGAAATGTTAACTATGTCTTCCATACAAGAATCAAATTGTAAGAAAAGCATTAGTATATAGAGAATCAAAGACACATTCCTTCACCCATAAAGTGATTTCTAGCTATAACTCTTGATCATAAAAGTTAGAACATTTAGGAAATAAACACTGCACCCAGAAATTAAGACCATGCGCATTACAACAAAAATATGTACAATGTGCCGGATGAACAGTGACCAATTGCCAGGACTTATGATCACCAAGCTGCAGAAAATAATAATGGCTGAATAATGAGTATGCAAAATTACTAACCTCACGCCAACAATTTTTTGGAATTCCTCTTCCATTGATCGAATCATATAGCTGTGAAAATCATACTTGAATGAGAGATTGTGATTCTGCCATGAAGAAAGGAAACATACTGAGTAAACATTCTCAAAATAGAATATACTAACAAGAAAGCTAACATAAAGTTTCAGTGATAGATGATGACGGAAAAAGAAAAAAGACACACTTGAGCCCAAGTAACTACAAATTAGAAAGAAGAGAGCCAAAGCAAAATAATACTTTGAACAAATTCATGACCATCACGAGTATAATAGCACATCTAAGTGCCCCTTTAGAACATAGAATGAGGGGAAATTTCAACATCTAATGTTTTGTCCTTCAAGTTATTTTGAAAAAGATATAGGCTTGTAATTGGTTTGTGGATTTAAGCATATAGTGAGACAAGTGTTTACATATCATATTGGCAATATATATTTCAGAAAATACAGCACAAGGATTCACTTGAAACACACAAGATAAGACCATGTACAGTAGCTTTTAATCTAAATCATTAGACAGTTACCATGATGAAGCCTTTGCGGAGAGTAAGATAGTCAGCACGAACAACAGAATGCCCAAATTGTCGGAAAAAACATGTCTGCAATGAAATTAAACTTGAAGTTAGGTAGACTTCCAGCTATAATGACTTAATGAATCAAAATAGAACCTAGATTTCTTACATCCAACATTTTGAAAGATAAGTTTGTTGAGACAAAACTGGTACAAAAGAATCACATGCAGAATCAAAATACAGAGAATATAAGGGTTTCTTTTTTTTTTTTTTTTAAAAAAAAGGATATTTGCAAAGAAAGTATGGTCTCAGAAACAAATGACAGGTGTAAGAGATTCTTGTATCCAATATCCATGAATCATTAGAACCTAGTATACTTTGGGCTACCATGCAACAAAGCATAATTCAGTAGACAGTCATTACCACCCAGACAAGAATATTGTTTCTGGCCAATGGATTTGATGTATGAACTTTGACAAAGGTTGATTGCCTTTGCAGTGTCTTCTCTCTTGTGACTTCTGTAGCAACATAATAATAACAGTAATAAAAAAAGGGTATCCTCTTGAAAATAGTTTCTTTATACCATAAACAATAAACCATTCATCCTTGAGTGGTTTTTATTTTGGATGTGCAAATTGCTTGTCTTGTAGGTCTATGAGAATTCAGCAGATATAGGATCTCCTCTTCAATCCAAAGAAGATAGAATGTCATTAACATTAACACAGAGAAGACAACACAGGCTCTAAAAAACTATGGAACTAATTTTAGGATCAAGGAAAATTGGTTTCATACTGTAAATTTGCAACCCTACACGGCATAATGAGTAAAATCCTTGCTGTTCTGGAAGTCCGATATGGGTTTATCAGTTTATGATAATTCATTAAGAGAAGAAGAGAAGTACATAGGCGAGAAGGATTATATTGTTCATGGACATAGAAAAAGAAGAATTAAAGTAAACCAGGGGAGAGAAGGAGCTTAATAAGCAGATATTGGTTTTACCAGCTAAGACATTATGCCGATCAACATGAGCCACATCTTCCCACACCCTCCAACTGTGAATCTGCTTTGAATTATTACATTGTTACTTACTTTGCCCAACAAATATCCAAAATAATAGCAACTTGTGTTAGCATGCTGGGTATGCAACACTATTTCCTAAATGAAAAACTTCAGTTTCCAGGTTGGATGCCAGGACAGAGGAATGGCACAGTTAGACAAGATTGCAAGTGTTTAACTAATCAATAGAGTCCAGTATGTAATAAATGTTGTTGAGGATGTATAGCATATGTCGGTCAAGTAAGCATGAAATCTGACTTGAATATGATACAGTGATATAAATGAATATGGTATGCTACTTAGAATATGAATAAGTAAAAGATAATTAGTTCTCAGTTTTGTATGACAATTATGCGCATTTCATATATTGCTTCAAAATTAACAGGTATGATCTCGGTTGTATATCAGACGTAATTATATTTTCTTTATAAACTTCAATGCATATCATGTTTATTATATACTTTCAGATATCATATATGCTCGTCTTAGAGAAATTTTTTGGTGCAAGAAATTTAATTGTTCAATATGAAGAATATGATCATTCTCTTCAACTTAATTTATTTGGTTAGCCTAAAGTAATATGGTTTGTTTCTAGAAAATGACAGCAGAAGAAAATATAGGTTTGCTGCGTGTAGAAGGACTCAACTTTATTATATATCATTGCTATATTGAGCAAAAGAAGATTAAAGATGGCAAATCAAAACATATTGAAACAGAAATTTAATATTTATCCTATATTTTACAAGAATGATAAATGTGCATCAATCAGGCCTGAGCTACTTACGATTAACAATTTCTCACCTTTACGATTGCCAACAACATTGTTAGGCAACTGTAAGATACGTGTGTTACTGCCATGACAAAAATGAATCTGTGCAACTGCTCTAGACCTTCATATGAAACAAATGGTTCGTAACCCTGTGCAACATAAATCCCATATTGCCCCATAAAAATCTGAAACAGTAAATAGTAATAGCTGATTATAACAAAACTAAAACATTCAAGGGGAAACGGTCATGCCTCTTTGCAGGAGTTCCGATTGACACCATTCAATATCCGCCTAAGTAAGTGTGAGTTACTAGAAGACATCAATAATTTACGTTCTTGGGAGCCATTATTTTCGATTTCTTCATCAATCTCAGATCTAGTACATGGAGCAAAGGCACTATTGTAGACCTTTGATGGAATGCATATATTAGCGATTATGCTTGAGGTAGCTGTTAATAGAAGTGATATAAATCCAAGAAGCATCAACTCTGAAGATTGAAATACAAATGGCGTGCAGAATTAGCAGAGTGTAGAAAAGCCTGAGGTTAATATCATCTTGACGGGAAAAACTTCTTGTTCATATATGAAATGTTTGCTAGTAGAACTTAATGGATGGTACCTTCTTTCATCTTCTCCAAAGCTGCAAGCAATGGTTTCCGATTAGTCTTCCGTAGCCACTGCAACCACATAAAAAAATTCAATCCGAAGCCTTCCAGTAGGGCATTGATAGCAGGGTCAGAAAGCATAAATTTGCTTTTAAATTTCTGCTTCCACTAGAATGTGAATCATCTGAGTGATTTAGCCATAGTCTTCCAAGATCAAATGCTCATGTCTTAAGAATCTGGTTTACCACCCAAAAATTTTCAAAAGTAGCAACTACTTCATACCATATTATTCATTCTACCCAATACCCCGTCCTCACTTTTTCTTTGGGACCATGACAACAGAGAATGACAAAGCAAAACTGAATGTTGTTCACACATAATGAATACTTTTTAGCATATGGCAAAATATGAAAGCTATACAATGATTATTCAACTGGGGGGGGGGGTTAACATGGACAATGCCAAAAAAGATATCAAGCCTAAAATTCATACTTAAGGTCCTCTTAAGTGGAAAGCAGGGGGGTGTATTTTATGGTCTAACTACTTGACAGCAATCTTTAAGCTCAAAAGACCATATTTCAGAAGAAACTCCCAACTCAGTGGTGAAATACAAATATACTATTACCAACTTACATGTCAGGAATGTTTAGGACCTGACAATATCCAGGCACACGAAGATCCTCCAAGTACGAAAAATGTAGGTTGGAGATGGAATATTTTAAAGAACTTAGTCATGCCTAGTTATCTGTACCAGCATTATGCATATTTATGCCTTCCATTCATCATACGAGTAATTATGCAGCAGCAAGCACCAAAGTAAGAAGTCGCAGCCTCTTAGAACTGTGTTGTAGAAGTTAAACAACAAATCAAAGTCTTTAAAGCGTATTAGTGTTTTAAACACACAATCAAAATTATGACTCTTTCTCTTAGACTTTGATTAAAAGGTCAGAGCAGCGAGGCGCTTAGGGAACAAAAGGAAACGAAATTGTATCTTGAACTTGAGATGCCTTATTGAAACGTCCAGATAACTATATTCAGACATATCAGATATATGAATGAAGTTTCTTGCAGCAATCAAACAAATTTCCCAAAAAGTCATTATTCCTCCCCTGAATTTCATCAGTTAGAGCAACGCAAACTTGATATGGCCATATGCATTATAAGTTCAGCAAGCTCACATAAATTGCAATTCTGCCGCATTTTGGACACGCATCAAAACCCACCAAAACTTAGCAAAGATGGTAGTGCTACTTACATTGCTTAACCGGTGAATGGAGCGCTCCACAAGTAAAGAAACAACGACAAAGATCATCAACACAGTAGCAACGGACCATGTTGGAGTCAAGGCCAATGATCGTGTTTGTTCTTCGTTTTCTGCCATTTTGAACTATCGCAACCACGGATCAAAACTTCAATGGACCTAAACTATAGGTCTCAATGAAGATCAACGTTCAGACTATTTGGGGAAAAAAAAGGGAACTCTTGTTACAGTGTACCATCAACCTGCACCCTGGAATGATCCTGAGTCTACGAATAGAAAATCTTGATGCTGGTATCTTCGATGAACGAATATTAGCAAATAATGGCCTAAGCGCCTAATTTACATACTAAAATACAACAAACTGATGGATGGGGTCCAAAGGGAAGCTTCTAGAGTTTCCAACATCTTCGCTGATTACCCTTTTCCATTCTACTTCTCCTTAGAAACAAGGTGTTCTTTTCACTGCATATTGCGTCTACTAGAGGAGAGTACACCAAGACCGACAATCTCTGAAGGGAGGGAGAAAAAGAAATTGCTCTACAGCTTTTGCTCCAATATGATACGGGGCAAAAGGAAACTGCGTGATTGTTTCCTCTAAAGAAAAGCGAGTTTTTTCGTCTCCGGAAAGCTTTACACGCACATCTATCTTCCTCTTCTTCTGCCCTTCTAGAATCTGAGTAGAGCTCTTTGGCCAAACCCAGATACAAATTCAGCTCACATTTCTGAAAAAAAGCTCATCTCGGATCTTCTCCATCGAAAGAGCCGACCAGAATCATGCACTCTCAAATCCGACTTCAAAGGTCTCAGCTTTTTTCCATATCCCACGCATTAATACTTCACCTCCAACACTACCAGCAATCACAGTAAGAGTAGAAGCTGTATTAATGTACTGCAGATAAAGCCAAGAGAAGAGATCTGGCTGTGCCACGACTTCGGAGTTCAGTGCCCGAATCCACAACATAAAATACAGTTCATCGGTCACACATACTCATTTATAATCCCCAGAGTTTCCCACATAGCTGCAAGAGGCAAAACACGTCATTTCCAGCTGCATTATGCAAATATCTTTTCCTTCTATTTCTTTCCCTGTGCCAGAGAGATGCGTGCAAACTCGCATATTTCTAGCAATCTAGCCATCTTAAACAATATAATATATAACCGAATAAAGGATTGGATCGGGAAAAAAAAAAACGAATCTTCATGCAGCTAACACGTGTTTCTCTGTTACTTCCTGTCTTCTTCTACATCCCACTTGCATAGTGGCATTGTCAACGAAGCTGTAGCGGGACATGAGACTGTGAGATCCTGTAACTTTTTTTCTTATTTTACATTTATTCGATTTCGACTTCTTAATGATTAGACTGGTTTCCCTGGCACTACATGGCTTATCCTATCCTTAATTTACAAACAGAATTACTTTTTTTTTTTACTAAAAACACTTCGATGTTAAAAATTTTAAAATGCACTTGCAATTTGGATGAAAATAGTCCATGTCTCGAAACATTGTCAGCTTAATTAAAAGGAAAGACATTTTCTATTGTTTATTTGCTAGATTGACTAACTACTTCACTGTTGGCCACGGATGTTTGTTAAATCTTTTTTTTTTTTAAATTAAAGACCAGGTAATTGTCCTTCGTCATAACTATCCTTCTCTGTAAAGTACCAAGTTCTCACTGATGCTTTGCAACTGCATAATTATGCACTTTTTCTTTTGGAACAAGCAATTGCATAAATACAAGAAGATTCTGGGAAGAATAAACATTTCATAATTTCTTGTTTTCAAAAAAATATACGCATTTGTATCTTTGAAAGTTTACATTTTGGCTTCGTCATCAGATTCACTGGCATATTCCAGCGAGCCAACAGTGCTACTGGAAGGGAATTAAATTTAGCAGGAAATGAATAACTGCCGCCAGGTCAAATGATGGTCCTTTTCAAACATGTTCTTTTTGGCCAACTTTTTTCAAGGATCAAGACAAGAATGTTAACCCAGAGACGGAAATTCACTAAAAGAAGTAAGAAACATGGAGCATCGGGAGGGTGGAAGAGTACAGGTTAGGCAAAAGAAAAACACTACTAAGTACTATAATGGATGAGTTAAACATCATACGCTGATTATCGATTGTAAGTGATGGTCATGTGCAACATTCAACTTCTACAGCGAAGCCAAAAGGAGATAATGACCAATTATGAAACTTTTGGTTTGGCACCAAATTTCAGGACGCCGACAAGAATGATCCCTTTTCTGTTGGTTTTGAGGATTATTTGAATGAAGATAATAACACCTCCATTAGTTCACCTGCTTGAAGTGCCAACGTATACCAAAATTGTCGCTAGCGCGCCGCCGCTATATTGATTCTTTATATAAAATTTCTTGTGAGGAGGGAGATAAACAAGCTCGCAGAGTCGCAATCTTGGATATCTATCTCTGAATACCTCTTTGCAGCTCAGTAAATGGCAATTTGGGTGTTCTTATAGGTAAGTTTGGGAGAATTATAATTAGATCTCAGGAGAAAAAATAATGATAAAACAAATATCAGAAATTATATTTTTTATTTTAAAACTTGTCATTGTTAGGTTGTTATTAAAAAAATTTAATAATTATTTTCTTTTCTCACTGCCTCCTTATAATTCTTTCTTCAAATTTTTTGTACTGAGAATTTGTAATCAAAGAAAACCATAAAGAAGAGTTCGTTGCTTTTGTTTATGCCTATATAGCCTACGGGGAACCATTGAGGGTACAGATGAAGATTCAACGCTCAAAATTCCCATTTTTAATGAGGTGTTTGGTCAAAAAGAAAGCGAAAGTTGAAAGATTCTCGGTCTTTTTCGATGCACAGAATATAAAGTACGAAAAATTGAAATTAAAAAAAATATTATTACCTGGGTATAATTTGAATACTGTTAATTAAATAACAATATAACAGATAAGTATTTTTCTTTACTTACATTGCAAAGTGAAAACAAAAGAGAATCTAGTTCTGTGTGCGCGTGCATTAGCCGGAGCGTCAGTCTTCTTCCCCCTTTGCAGCTTTTTCAGGGGAGGGGTAAGTACTTTATGGTTTTGGGGTATTCCGGTGGACAAAATCTTTTTATCGTACTGTATCTTGTAAGAACATTATTGTGCAATCGATAATCATGGCCAGGCTGTTTCAAACTTAGAACACTTTTTCCTGCTGTTCCTCAAATGGTCAGGCGGACGGGCCCTCAGCTTTTTGGCTTGCTCGTCGTGATCCTCTACAATATTACCTGGAGCTGTTTTATTTGTTTTTTTTTTTTTTTAATTTTCGCCTGCTTTGTGAGTCCTAAATCTATTAGGCTACCAAACTCCATGTACAGAGACCACAATTGCAGAAGGAACTATGGGTCAGGCCAGCTATGAGGACTGGTTTTGGCCATTCCCGACATGACATTGTAAGAAGCGTTAGGTGAGGCTTTTAATAAGCAGGGTCCATTATCATTTTAGCGCTTGTTTGGATTCGAAAGTGTACTTACTTCAATAATAAATCATAATTAAAAAGCTATTTTCAAAATTGTTATTCTAAACAAACCCTTAATTTGGGACTGAGACAACACCCATTTTGATGGCTTAAGGCTCTAGAAAATGAGAGATGGTGAAGAAAACCTTCTGCTTACATGATCATGCATTGGTAAAAACGTAAACAGAGGTATGTTTGGGAGAGGTGATTTCTTTTGAATTTAAAAAGTTAACTTGTTTTTAAAGGTGTTTGACAACTATCAAAAGTTTTTTTAAAAAATACTTTTTCACCTCCTCCACATTTTTAAAATCATGGTTTGATAAAACACCCTTTAATGAAATACATCTTGTATAAATATTCTGAGATTGAGGCGACTAATGTATAAAATTTAAAATTGATCCTTGTATAGTTGTATTGATCTTCCCATGAAAACATCAACACATATACATATGTAAGCACATTCTTTCATGTTTCAGAAAACGAATACCTTATAGAATATTAAATTGCTTACTGTATAGTGATGAATTATCCGAACTACAAAACCCTTACATGCATTGAACTCTCACCGCCCTAATTAGTAACAATCACATACAATCTCAGCTCATGAGGCAAGAAATTTGCAGGTCAAAAAACACAGGAATAAAATCTGCTCCGATTATCATCTACATCAAATGGGAAATCTCAGAGACCTCCGTTAATTTACTCTTTTCTCAATATAACAAGAATGAAACTTAAGTTATATGACCAAAACTGGGCCAACACCTTAGAATACCTCGAGCAAATGCGATGTATTTCATCTCAAGTGTCAATGCCTTGGATCGTCCCACGATTTAAGAATGCCCTCTTTCAACTCTGACAAAAAGGTGGGCATAGAACACTGACGAAAAGGATGAGGATTTTATGACTCGTTAGTTGGAACCTGCTCATCAGCATTCAATCCAAGTCCAAGCTGAACTGGACTTCGCTCAGACGAGTCACTATTAGGAGTTGAAATCTCTTCATCTATACTATCCTGGGTGTTGGGAAGTTGGTCCGCAGTCTCTTCCTCCAACTCATTCTCGCTAAATAAATCCCTCTGAACAGGTACACTTCTTTGCTGCTGAGATGAAAGAACATTTGCTATGGCTTTAAAAGCTGCAGATGCCTGATCACTGTCAACACCAGTATCGACATCTACACCATTAACATTGGGTTCCTCCTCAGGTAAATCATCTTTACGTGGTGGGGGAACGAAAAAGGGAATCCTGCCCCTCTGCCAGTCATGAAGTACCATCTTAGCTGCAGTCATCAGGTCTGGCTCACCACCCTGGATACAGCCATAATGTTTGTAAAAATATGCCCTTGGGTAGCAGAGACGACCGTTTTTATTTTGGAGGGGGGGGGGGGTTCAATTGGGCTAGAGCACAGGGTATCATTTTGTTTTAGAAGAGCTCTGTGTACATTTTCCAAAATAGAAGGGACGATTTTTAGGTTCAGCAGAACTTAAGGTAGGCCAACCTAAATAACTCAAAAATAATACTAATTCAATCCTAAATATAAGACTCATTTTTGCAATCGGAGGAGTACAAAATAAAAAGAGTTTTTTTTTTTGGGGGGGGGGGATGCTGAGCTGCTGGAACCCAAATGCGCCTCTTTCTTCTTGGATAAGTGACACTTGAAGCACGAAGATACAGAGATCATAGATATTGCAATAATTCGTGATAAATTGAAGAGAGAATTAGTTTTTAAAAAATAAAATAAAAATAAAAATAAAAACTCGTTCAGAAGGGTGTGACAGAGACCAAACTTCTTTTAATTTATATAAAGGAAAGCTTGCATAAATGGGTATTGCTGATTATCAGCTTTGAAAACAATGCTGGGCTAAAAGGCCTTCCAGGTATTTGACTATAAATAGGTTGTTTAAATATAAGACTTCCCCCCTATTTTAGACATGTACCTTTAAGAGTTTGCCAGTAGCTTTGCTGAGCTGAACTAGGAAATCATTCTCATCATCCCTGAAAAAAAGAGCAAGTTGCAGTTAATCCTACAGAGTTTAAGTCCACAACCATGCATAAAGTGATTTACATTTAAAACAAGGAGCAGATATCAGGGAACCAAAACAAATAGCAACAATATAAAGGACCATACCACTGAGTTATCTTGTATGCTCTTTCCAAATGCTCCTTCTTCACACGTTTTAAAACTTCACCTATGTGTTCTGAAGCGTCTTGCAAGTTTGTCACGCGTACCTAAATACAAATCTCAGCATGCTTAGGGTAAACATAATAACATACCTGAGAACTAGTAAACATAAAAAGTCACGTGACCTTATCAGGGCACGCAAGAGAATGAACGAACCATTGAAAAAGCAACAAGCCAAAAAAGCATAAAGACTAGTTACATAATCCTGGGCTTCATTAATCAAGATGGGATACCAACACCATCATATGCAAGCAATTTTTATAGTGGCATCAATAATATCCATCCTGATCAACCAACACATAGAAGTAACATTCGTCAGTCACTTGTGCCACTTGCATGGTAGTGCCCCGACCAAAAAGTCATGATTCCAACCATCTATTATTCCTTCAGTTTCACAATGGACAGCAATGGGTCATTTCGGAATCTTGATTCCAAACATGTATTATTCTTTCAGTTTCACGACGACCAACAATCGCTATTCTTGGAATCTTGAATTTGGGTGAAGTCATGACTTCAACTTCCAGAATTGTTATGCTAAGGACAGTGGAAACAAGATGCCGATAGGAGACTAGACCCAAATACAAAAGCATGAGATTGCAAAGTAAATAAGTAGTCATCAAAAGCAAAGCAGTAATAAAATAATGAGAAGCAGCTCGAACAAACTATTTCTTATCAATGATAACCCAAGCACAAAAAAAAGTAGGGATAGACAACATACCACACCCTTCAGCACAATATCTGTTTCAGAGTCATTGTTCTGATAAACAACACCCGGGCAGTCAATCAAAAAGATTCTCTTTGTAAGGGTTATATATTGCCAGACTTTTGTTTCCCCTGGAATCGGAGCAACCTTGCAGACCTTTGGCACAAATTGCGGACATATAGGTCAATTAACATAGTAAGATGTTTACTCCAAATGAAAAAAGAATCCCATAGAATGATCTTAATTTCCTCAACAGCAAGCAAGCAATCTGCTGCATGCACACAAACTTTGGTTTCTTTTGCAAACATACTCCCCCATCAATAAAAGTGGAAGCAAAAAATTCAGAAGTAGGAAAAAAGAAAGATTTATTACATTCTTTGTACGTAATGTGTTGATCACTGAAGACTTCCCAACATTCGGATATCCAATGAATCCAACGGAAATTGCTTGCTTGTCACTTTTTAATCGGGCAAATTGTCTCAAAACTGACAGAAGTGAACCCTAAGCACAATGACCAATAAAAAATATGGTTAAGGGAGAGGAAAGAAAGATTTGTTACCACAGCAACCTAACATTTCTCAAAATGACCAATAACAAATATAACTAAAACACAATGCCCCTTTTTCCACACATAAACACACAATGCCATGTGATGAATGACCATGCCTGTCTCCTGTTACACCATCAGTGGTACAACCTCAACTAAATTCGCCTCATTCTTCATAAGTTAACATGTGTTATACCACACCTAGGAGGCAGATAAACTTACACAAACCGAACGCAACAAAGAAAGTCAAGTATTTCAGAAATACCTTTCCAAAGGACTTGTTAATACTTGCATGGAAGGCTAGAGTAGGATACTCTCTTGACAAAACTCTAAGCCACCCCTTTGTTGCCCAGGCAGGAACTAAATCGCACTAAGAAATTTACGGAATTGATATTTTAGAAAATATTAAAATATATCAACGTCAAAAAAGAAAAATGAATAAATAAGCCAAGCACACAAATATACCACAACAAACCTTGTTTAGCAAAAGAACCATGTGCTTATGCTTGCAAGTTTCCTTCAAATGCTTCTCTAAATGGTAACATCTTGTGCCTTGAGGGTCCCTTGCATCTAAAACCTGCAAAACCATACACCAACATATTCAATGGGAAAAGATGATAAGATGGAAGAGCGAAAGGGTCTCAGAAAGGTTTTTTACTAAAAAGAAAAGTGCTTTATCATGGACCTTTCCAACATTAACAACCAGGTATCACAGAAAATGTTGCCAAACAAAGCAATAACCATTCATCTGATGCTTTTCTTGCATTACCACAACAACAAACTTCTTAATACCAAAAAAATCACATTGACAAAGCAAACGAAGTCTCTACTCTCTAGAACTTGCAATTCGCTCACAAAAAGTAGACTCACAGTGGAAAAACCCATTACAAGCGGCTTTTCTTGACCCTCATACAAAAGTACATAATCTAATGGGGCAAAAAGAATTACAGAGGACAAGTGTGCATTATGACCAATAAATGCAGACACAGAATGTTAATATCCCGCAATAGTCCAAGCACTAAAATAGATTTTACCTGGACAACAACATCAGAAGAATCTATGACTTTGTAGAGTTCACCCCATATACGTTTACTTTGACCTTTTTCAAACATTGTATGCCGCACTAAATCCCTAAACCCATCATCACCATCACCTTCCGCAGATACACTAGCACCATACCTCTGCTCAAAAGCATCTGCAAGGTGAGAGCAGTAGAGTCAATTGAATAAATTGAGTAAAAAAACCAAACATGATAACTGATAAAAGTTAAATGCTAAGTACACTGGCAGCAAACTTAGAAAAAAAACTAACTTACAGATAAATTATTATTTACCTTGAGAACCATCAGCTTTCTTTACCAGAGATTCATAATCTGCTGCCAAGAAGGTAGGGCGCTTCCTTTTAGTCTTAGGTCCAAATGCATCCTCAAAAGGCTCTCTATCAAGAAGGTGAACTCTTGATTGCTATACCCAAAAAAAAAAAAAAATAACGGCAAAATTAAGCAGCTTCTCCTATAACGATACTTGTAATCACCACTGAACATTTGCTAAATAACGTTAATGTATTAACATTACTGCCTTCAATAAATATATTGTTTTGGACTATTTAGGGGAAAGCACTCTAAACTGTAACTTACAACTAGGTGTACCATATAGTTAAATCACAGCATTTTTTGTTCATATATACGCACAGATAGAAAAAAGAAAAGAAAAACCGGAAAGCAACCAATTCAAGATATTTCAATCTAACCTATCTCAAAAGTAAATTTTGCATTCAACTAGTAAAACACGGCCTTCGTATAATGCCCAATATTACATCCCGACATCATAGTTATAACTAGGCAATAAAATTGCACGTGTGGAATATTAATGACGCATAAAAAAAAGCATAACATTCCAATAAATTTCTTTTCTTTCTTTCTTTCTTCTTTTGGTTGTCAGAAGGGTCAAAAAGGATTCGAGAGAGTAAACAAACCTTTTGTTGATCGTTCAGGAGAGACATGGGCAGATTCTTTCCTTTCAATATGACATTGTAATTACTTGACATGCGATTTTGAAGCTCCTCACGGAAAAATTCAAGCTCCTTTTGATTTACAACCCGAGTGTTTCCTACAAATAATGCCATAAAAATTACTACAAAATTATAAGTAAACTAACACCATAAGCTGTCGATACTATGACTTTAGCATTTCCCGCTCACCCAAAACAAAAAGCAAGGGTGTTAATATGAAGATATGAAGCTTTTTTTTTTTTTGGCCAAACAACATTTGAGGATGAAATCTGCAATTTTTGGGTCATTTTGTAAAATAGAACTCACCAAACCATCGGCGGTCGGGTTGAATTCGTGTACTTGGCAAGTCCTTTGATTGAAACTCGTTCTTCAAGATTTTCCCTTTACGATCCCGCACGGGTCTTGTATTGTACATATTAAGCCGCCGCACTGTAGCGGCGCTACGCGAATTTGAAGAGCTCTTTTTGTCATTGCTCCTGTTCGCATCGAGTGAGTGCTTTGGCTTTCCGGACACGTTCACTTTCTTCTCCTTCTTCTTTGTCATCTTCACTCAACTATGCAGTGGGAACTAGGAAAAAGGTGGAAAATCAGAATCTACGTATCAGAATGTAAATGGGGGGGAACAGAGAAAGAGGCGAGACCAGAAGCTTGCTTCTGATACGGGTGAATAGCAACTGTTCGAGGAAATAGAGAAGATCGGCGAGGCTAGGTGGAAGCAATAAGCAAACTGTCAAGCGCTGCCGCCAAAAGCAATAGCGGCAGTTAGAAATTAGGGTTTAGGTTTTAGTTGAGAAATTTGAGCGACCGTTTTTTCCCCCTTATTTTATTTTTTGCAAGGAAAAACTATTTTAGAGGTACTTATATTTTTTAAATTTTTAATCTAATATTTATGTGCTTTTTTCTTAATTAAATTTTTAATTTTACTCTATTAATATTATTAAATCTTGCAAAGGGAGTAAAAATGTTAATAAAATTATAAAAATTAATATTGCTAGCTTTAATATAGTTTTTTTTTTTTAGAAGAAATCACAATTAAAAATCCAGAAATTTAAAAAATATAAATAGAGACCTATGACAATTTTACTATAATCAAATTTCAGGATTTTTTTTGCCCTTGAAATTGGGCGGCCATTCCCAACCCGCCCTGCCTTTTTAATGCGAATGTTTTTCATCTTGATATTGGGCCACTAATTCAACTTTGGAAATAAGAATTTTTTCTGGCCCAAAATTTAATTATTCTATGAAAAATAAATAGACTTGCCTAATAATTGGGCTGACGCCCAACCAGCCCAGCTCGTAGAGTCCTGCTTTGTTTTTTTTTTTCCCTGGCGCAAGTCCTGCTTAGTTAATTTAAGAAAAAATGTTATAGCATTAATTAATAAAAGCATGAAAAATAATTATTATTTTATATATTAAAAATTTGGTGACTTTGGACGCTGTGTTTAATTTAAAGTTTTGATTTTGATTAATCTCATCATTAGAGTGGTGTATTTATTTAAAAGTAAGAAATAGCAACATTAAGAATGTGAAGAGCAGCGCAATTAGGCTGTGGTGGTGCTAGACTCCCATTTATTTGAGATCTAGTCCTCCTTTACTCAAATCCAGCCTATTATGAGTTATAACAGGTGTTATGTTCTTGGCTGTTCTGTAATTATTTGCTTATATGCCCTCTAATAATGCGAAATAATGCAATTTGCTGGACATTAATAAATTACGTGCCTGTTTGGCATCACTTATTTTGAGCTTATAAGCTCTATAAGCTCGATTGACATAATGGGTCTGTTTGGATCAGCTTTTCTGCAATCGGGCTTTTCTCTGAAAAGCTACAATAAGCTATAAGCTAAAATTAACAGCTTATGACTTATAGCTTTTGAAATATGGAGAGAAAAAAAGTTAAAAAATTTATTACCTCTTTTGGTTCTTATTATAAGTCTCAAATAACTAATTTGTAGATAATAAAATATCAGTTAAAATTAGTTGAAAGTAATGAATAAGTTAGAAATATATTTTTATTTTTAAATATGCTCCTAAAAATATACTTTTATTTTTTCATGTTTCACTTTATATTTAAAATATTTTTTATGACTTCTTCATATTAAATTATTTTAATTTCATTGTATTATGTGAAATTATTTTTTTTTAATTATGTTTCATTATTTATTAAAACTCATATCTATTTTGGTCATTTTACAACCAAAGTTACTTTTACTCAATCACAATCCAAACAACCTTTTACCAATCTCATTTTTGCAATATAGCTTTTCTGAACTCTAATCCAAACACAATTCAGCTTATCCAATTTAGCTTTTATCCAATTTCACTTCTCTATAAGCTACTTTTCCAATCGCTGATCCAAACGGACCCTACATATGTTGCGTGGAGAGAGAGTGATTGGTTGCGCCCAGTATGCAATTTTTTTTTTTAACAAATGGGTATCTTCCTATTGGAAGCAATCCTATTTGAGACACTATCGGATATTAAATATGGACACTTCTTCCAGATTCAAATCCTGATTCGCCACATTGTGAGGAACTAATCCCTTCTTCTAAACCCAACCCCCATTAGTGCCCAGTATGCAATTTAAGGGGCGTATAGGTGTAATTAAAACTGTGGTTTTAAAAATATTTTTATGGTATACAAAATAAATATGTCGAAGAGTTTATCTCAATTTGTGAAAAAATGCTTTTAAAAAGCACTTTTTATAGTATCCAAACACCCTCCTAATTTCAGTAATCCTTTATAATTGATTATGAGTGTAACTGACTATTCCGTGGGACTTTTACGCCAAGAATTATTATTTCGTGGTATTTTGTGTAAGAAAAGTTATTTTCTTTTTATTATTTGCAAGTCATTATAATTTTATTCAGGACAACAGAAGTGAAAAAAAATCAAACTTCCACTTGCAGAGTATACATGACTACTAAAAGAATTTTTTGCGAAAAGTAACATTAGGGAACTAAATCGATAGTTGTGTGAAACACAATTATTTATTTGTAAGATGGTTTTGTTCTTTTGTTATATTCTTGGCGGGTATGAGAAATATTGGACCTTGACAAACACAGGTTTGTATCATTAAGCTTCATATAAATTTTGATATAATTTACGTTGTTTATGACTTTAATAATTTGACATGATCTTTTGCAGGTACCCCCACACGAGATAAATAGATTTGAATCATGCAAATGTAAGAATGATGGCTATATTGAGGCGTACTCACCGCATTTTTTTGGGACAATATATCCACATAGCACTTTATGAATGAATTTATACGATTACATAGTGCGTTACAAACATATTTACATTGTCAATGGGGAAGATATCAACACAAGCTAAGTTCATACGAATGGAGTTTTTTTGGTCAACTTAGATGAATTGACTTTAAAACTTAATTTTGAATTGCACACTTATTGATGACATTTCCTCACCGTGCAAAATATTAACATAAGCTTATGTTCATTTTTCTGCCAGAGTTACTGAATATATACACATATATAGAGAGAGAGAGAGAGAGTTGAGGTTTTGAATTTATATGCCACCCGAAAGATGAATTGAGGTGATGTTCTAGTGATAAATTCTCTGCGAGATGCAACATCTGATGTTGTTACACAACCGAACAGCCCATCATCATCTTCTCTACCCGACTGCATCACCTTCCTTCCATCACCATTGTGTGGGATCTGGATAAACTCACCGCGTTGCATGTACCAGAGCCTCCTCCATGGATCGGCTGCTAAAAGTTGCAAAAGCTTCTGGTTCCCTCAACCTCTCAAATCGCTCGCTCAGGCAAGTCCTCTCTTAATATTTTGTTTCCTTTTCTATCGATTCCTTATGGCAGTTACACTGATCACCAGAGTAATTCGGCTTGCTTCCATTTTTGCTAATCGTAGTCGTGACTTGAAATTGTTGAGCAAAAGCACGTTTTTTTCCCTTGCTGAGCGATTCTGTTGCTAAACTAACCTGGGATCACCATGGTTTTCACCCTTTTGGTCATTTACGCATTGATGTGTTTCAAATTCAGGGAAGTTCCGAATGAGGTGTACCGGAATCTGGAGGGGGGTGGGCAGGATGATAAGTGGTGGGAGGTAGTGCATTTCGCTCTAGCTTTGTTTTTCTTGAAGCTTAGCTGCTTTGATACACTCGATAGATAATGCTAACTGATACTTCGACATGTAAATGAAGTGGTCTGATATTTTATATCATGTTTACAGGCCGTGGATCTCCAAAAACTCATCTTGGCTCATAATGATATTGAATCATTAAAGGAAGATCTTAGAAACTTAATCTCACTAACTGTGTTGAACATTACCCACAACAGACTCTCTGAGCTTCCGGCTGCAATAGGAGAGTGAGTTTTTATCTGTCAATTATGTCTTCAAACACGCATACACAAGATATATGCAGCATTGCAGTTTCAGTAATACCACAACTCATCTTGGATTTCCAAATAAATTATCCAATTGACAGGCTACCTCAGCTGAAGTTGTTAGATGTTTCGTTCAATATGATTAATAAAATACCTGAGGAAATTGGATCGGCAGCATCACTTGTTAAGTACGCTGTTATTTCTTCTTACTCTTTTTTGCCATCTGTTTTCCTTTTAAATAAGCATGCTAATGTTCTTTTCATCCCCTCTGTACTCCTCTATTTATGCATATGCTCCCCCTAGTTAACATGCTTTGCAATGATTGTTTAGGCTTGATATCTCTAACAATCAACTGAAGGAGCTTCCCAGCTCGCTTGGCCAATGTATAGAATTGTCAGAGTTGAAGGTGATACTTTATCTTGCCAAAAATGCTGAGTGTGTACATTGGTTATGTCATTTTGCTCCAACTGTGGTATCAAATAAGATTTTTGTGAGTTAATTTTCTAAATGGTATCTGGTTTATTCTTCTCAACGAATATATGGAGAGAGAGAGGGCTTTGTTGTGAGAGTTTATATTTTGGTGCCTATATTAATTGTAATTAGCAGCTATTAACCCCTGCAATTAAAAGATTATGGAATTACATGGTGTTTGGGGTGTACGCTCAAGTTTCCCCCAGCCTTTGTATTTGAATCAAAATCTCTCATAAAGGCTTGCTATTTGCTGATCCTATACATGCATGCCTCTATGCTTGCTCTTTGATGAAATGGGGCTCACGATACTTTTATTCCAGGGGTCAAACAACCTCATTGCCAGCTTACCAGATGATTTATCAAATTGTTCAAAATTGACAAAGCTTGACATGGAGGTATTACCAAAATATGGCATATTTTTTATGGATGACCAACTTACTCTACTTTGGGGAGGTGTATGATCTTAATAATGAGCATTTTTTATTATGTCATCTTCTGCCTTTTTCCAGGGAAACAAACTAACAGTGATACCTGAAAACCTCATTTCTTCATGGACCATGCTTACTGAATTGAATGCATGTAAGGGTCTCTGTTTTGCCATCTAATTACCTATATGATATAAATAAATAATGTCAAAACTATTCAAATGCCTTGTTTGGTTAAATACTCTCATTTTTCACACTCTTTGTAGCAAAAAATTTGCTCAATGGCATACCAGTCAGCATTGGAGGTCTTTCTCGTCTAATTCGCCTTGACCTCCATCAGAACAGTGAGTTATTAAACAAGAGGTTCAAGATGATTTTGGTTTCCCTTTTGATCTTGGCTCAGCATTATCACGCATTCATTTGTACAGGAATCTCATCGATCCCTTCATCAATCATGGGTTGCCATTCACTTGCAGAGTTTTATTTGGGGTGCTATTCTAATTTATGCTGAGGCTAAACTTCATATTATCAAAACATATCATTTTAAGCGTTTAATTTTCTCTTACCCGAGACTTATGAGTTCTGACACATATGATACTCATTATCAATTTAGGAATAACAACCTTTCTGCTGTACCAGCAGAGATAGGGACACTCAAACGGCTGGGGACTTTAGATCTTCACTCTAACCAGGTAGGTAGAACTGAAATTTTATTTATTATAACCTATTTCAAGAGATGCTCTTTTTTTCATATTGCTTGGTTGCCCTCATAAAAATAGCATTATTGTGACCACTTTCATGTCCTCAGTTTGGTGTTGTGCTCATAATTTTTAATTGGGGCTTATCTTGGATTTGCGAAGATATTGAGCTGCTTTGTAACATTATTTTTGAAGCTCTTTTGGTTTATTGAGCTGATTTGTTTGTGAGTTTCCATTCAGAATATGTCTTCATTCTTGAACTGCATTTTAAAACTCATGTTAATTTCTTGCAAAAATATTCTATAAAAAAGCTTACATGTAACGTTGGATAATCACTGTAAAAATGAAAGGAGAAAGTCAAAATTTGTTCCTAAAATTTAGGTTGATGTGAATTGATTTTAACATTGTATATGTATAGACATCAATGTACTGGTCTTATGGGCTTTTGCATTTTTGTGACACCTCATAAAAATGACCTGGTTTAGTGAAGAATTTGAGCCATTGACTTATTGATTTAGATGAACTAAAGTATATACACACCCGCAAATGCTGACAGATTTAACCTTCATGTTTAGCTTAGGCAAGATGACCATCAACAGATCTCTGTTCACAACCATTGCTTACTTTTGTATACTAGCTTATTAATCCGATTTCATATTTTTGTCATTGAAATGCAGTTGAAGGAGTATCCAGTAGAGGCCTGCAAGTTGGGTCTTTTAGTCTTAGATCTTTCGAACAATTCATTGAGTGGCTTACCTGCCGAATTGGGTAAGTTTACCAAATTTATGACAATTTTGAATTTAATCTAAAAAAACTTCTAGTTGACTTACAAGAGCAGAAAGTTTAAGTTTCTAAAGAAATATAATAAGAGTTTTGGGTGCCTACCACCATAGATATGGCTTCCTATTAATTCTGGTTCTGATTGGTTAAAGAACATGTAAGCCAATGGAAACCTGTGCTCAGATAAAATTTACAAGCAACAAGAGTTTGCAGCATCTCTGATAATATATTATTCCAAAAACTTTAGTCAAAAGCAATAAGCCACAGTAAATCTTAATATCTTAACTTGGAGTAAATCTCATCCTCAGCCCTTAATGCAGAATACTGTTGTTTATGTGTTGAAGCACTTGAAGCATTATGGACCCACCTCAGATAAATATATAAAGGGATAATTGCGTAGATATTTTAACTTTTTTGGGGGACAACCCTAATATTTTAACTTGGCCTAGGCAAGATGACTACCTTGAGGAAACTTTTGCTTATGGGCAATCCTTTGCGGACTCTTCGAAGGTACAAGGCCTAGTAACCTCTATTTTGTCAGTGCTTAATGTTTTAATTACTAGTGTTTTCCAGAAGCTAATGCTTTTTATTCCCAGCTCATTAGTCTCTGGACCTACGCCAGCACTACTGAGGTTTCTTCGGAGTAGACTTTCGGAGGGTGAAGGTATTAGTTGCATATATTTTATGCTTATACCTGTATTTATTCTTTTTGGGCAAAAATATGTCTTATTCTTGAGATCATGTTGTAATTTTTTTCTGCAGAGTCTGAATCTCCAATCAGGACAAAAGAGGATATGATTGCAAATGCTAGCAGATTGTCTATCACTTCAAGGGTATTGCCTCTTCAGAAAAAGAGAAACTAAATCATTTTTTGCTTCATCATCTGTCTTAAAAATTATTGCCACTTCAAATGTATTGCCTCTTATAACTTCGTGCATTATAAAATTTGATAAAATGTAAAGATATCATGGTTTTTGTTGCTTAGTGTGATCAAGCAACCAAAAAAAAAAAAAAGTATCGCAAAGCCCAAGTTCATGTCTTTGCCAATTTAATTAATCATAGCAGACTGTTCGATTCATTAAGCTTATGATTAATATCAGCATTAAATTATTGTTGGACTGATATTCAGGAGCTTTCTTTGGAAGGGCTGGGGCTGAGTGCCGTTCCACTAGAAATATGGGAATCAGGGGAAATAATAAAAGTTAATCTTTCAAGAAATTCCATTGAGGAGTTGCCATCGGAGCTCTCCTCTTGTGTATCCCTCCAGGTGAAGTTTTATTATATGGTTATCCTTTCTTTAAATTACCTCTTGGAAAATTCCTTATAAATTTGTATTGGATACACACACACACACACACACTGCAGCAATGTTAGGACAGGCCAAGTGCTTGAAAAACCTAATGATCCCATAGATTGGTCTCAAAATAATTGCCAGCAGCTGAGGCAATGTGTGCTATTCTTTATTGTCTGCAGTATATTTGTGACAACCCTGCTTCCATTACCCTATGTTCCATAAAGGAACGCAGAGAAGCTTGAGAAATTCTTAATTGCGATGCAATCGTAACCAGTGACTTGATTTCTTATTAAATATCAGTCACGATCAATTTTATAAGCACTGTAGTTTCAGACCCCAAACTGCATGAGTTTAGTTCTGTGTGTTCTTATGAACTGATTCAGAAGTTTCACAATCATTATCTATTTTTTGTCAGATTTTTCACTCTCTTTTATAATTTCTTTTGCCGACACATTTTTCTGTCACTTCTATCATGTTCATCTTTTACCTTTGATAATTTTCAACAATAATGATTGACATGGGTCTAAATTTCCCTCTGAAAATATATATGGGATTTGTATTTGCATCATCAACTTCTTGGTATAAGGTAAAATAATTCTGCATAGGAAAAATCTTTCTATGGGTCTCAGTGAAAGTTGATAATCTGTGGATGATAAATTTGTCTCCAGTATTTACTTGTTTAAAATTTTTTATTGGATTGATGTTAGGATAAGGGTAGTCTGATCAGCTGGTCATCATCAAATGAACTAATGCAGATCTATAAACTGTTGTACTCATTCATTTCTGTATTTACACTTTTCAGACACTGATTTTATCTCAGAATAAAATTAAAGATTGGCCCGGTCCAATTCTTAAGTCACTTTCAAGCCTGTCTTGTTTGAAGCTGGACAACAATCCCCTCAGACAGGTAATGACTTGAGAGTAATTCTGTACTCTTTTTCTTGCAAACATGAATAATAAGATCAGCATGTGTGGAAATATCTTACTTTTATTGCAAATATTTGTATAATTTTATTAGATTGCATTAGCCTTTATTCTCTAGTTTTGTCTCCGTATATATATTGGAATGTATATTTTTCTTCAGATTAATGAAAAAATGCAGTTTTTTCTCTCAAAATTCCACAGCATGCTTATTCTTTCCTCATGGCAGTGAATCCCGCAGGCACACATGACTAGGAAACTTAATTGAAACGAGTGCATAATGTTAAAACTTTATGAAGTTCATTTTTTAATTAATGCTATGGAAGTGACATAGTCAGTGTGTGTAATGAAAATAACTTAGAGAAATCTCTTCTGATCTCTGTGCAATCCAAAATATTTGTGCTCGAGGAGAGGAATGATGTAATTTCTCTGTCCAAAGGCAAGTTCTGATTTAAATCCCAATTGAAAGTTTGATATTACTGACCATATCTATTGCCTGAATGATAGATTCCTTCAGATGGTTTCAAAACTGTGCCTGTGCTTCAGATTCTTGATCTAAGTGGTAATGCAGCTTCACTGCCAAATGGTCCTGCATTCTCTAGTATGCCACATCTGCAAGAGCTTTACCTCAGGTGTTCAATTGAAGCTTTAAAATTGTATTTCTTATGCACCTTTATCTTCTTGAGTACTTATGTTTAACTTCCGCATCACAATATTACAGAAGAATGCAACTAAGTGAAGTTCCCTCAGATTTATTGGCGCTATCTCAACTCCGAATCCTTGACTTGAGTCAAAACTCCCTTCAATCAATCCCATCGGTAACATACCATCTTCCTTGTACAAAACAGAAATTGTCGTTATATATATGCCACTTGGTGATTCTGACATCAAAGTTCTTGATATTTTTATGGTGACTTTAGGTTATAGTCCAATACCTTTTATTTTGGCCTTTTGGATTGACATCATTCCCATTGATTTGTCCATGTCAAATTGTTTATCTGTACTATGTTATTGAATATTGTTCATTGACAGACAATGTGGTTGTTTGTTCTGCGAGCCCATAAAATTTCGATCTATATAATATGTTGGTCAAGGAAAGTTGTCATTCTTTTGTCAAGTCTTTCTCGCAACTCTGCACCTTATTGTGATTTCTCAAATTTATAAGTCATCTGTAAGGGGTTAATGGGTTTCTTATGGATGAACTAGAGTATTGTAGCAGGGCCATGTGTCAAAGAATAGCCAATTAATTTACGGCATGCATGATCACGCTAGGAATCAAACAATTATGTTGCAACTGTCCTCATAGGGCTGAGTTCTACAAATGATGACGCTTTCTTCACAAAACTCGTCTGCTTCTCTAAATGATACGCTCTGATAAATCTTAACTGTTAATGCCCTTTATTGCCCGTAAATTGCTTTCAGGGGTTCAAAAATCTCACTTCTCTGATGGAGCTTGATCTATCTAATAATAATATCTCCGTCGTTCCCCCTGAACTGGTAAGAAACAAACTCCCTCCCTCCCCTGTATGTACATTTTATTGATCTTAATTTCAGCTCTTTCTAGTTTTAACAAGCTATGATCACCGTCGCATAAGTAATTTTTCAGACGAACTTTGAAAATGGTTGGTGCTATGCGTCTGCAGTAGTAGAAATATTTGCAAAGTAAAAGTAGATACTTCTTCTTGGGTTACATAAAGTACATATTTTTTTAGATGTGTTCTATCCCTTTTCTGTTGGCCCCTCTTTTCAAGAATGATTTTGAACTGATTCTCCAGTTAATCCTTTGCTGTTTGGTCATGTGCATTAGCTTAGCCCATGGCTTGTTTCGCCAGACTTTTTCGTCCGTTACAGTATTCTGAGAAATTGATATGATCAGGGTTTGCTGGAATCAAGCCTTCAGGCATTGAGACTCGATGGAAATCCTCTCAGAAGGTAAGACACGGCCACTTTTTCGAAAATGGAGATCTTTTGTCAACAGAATGTCAAACTGTTTAACACAAAACCTTGTTAAGTAACTGATGATCTAATAACAGTAAACATCTCTATCACTGTATTTTTTTTTTCCTTGGCCAACCTCGTCTTCATATTGAATTCTGTTTTGCTTACATGTCAGCATTCGGAGGACTATCTTGGATAAAGGAACGAAAGGTGTTCTGAAATATTTGAAGGACAAATTGCCAGAGCAATAGTTCTTTTTCATTTGACGATCATGCTGGTGTGCTTGTGATTATGTGGGAACATTTGAACGTAGTTTGTTGAACAACACTCCCATTTGTGTGTCCCACGGCCTCATAGTCTGTGTTTTTCCCTACTTGTTTGCTGTATGAAGGGTTGTAAACCATAAAATTTTATTTATGGTTACCGAAAGCATATTGCTTTGGTTACTATCCCACTTACTACCTCCGTGTTTTCATATAGGCAAAACTTCCATATGGTTCCCCTTTTTCTTAAAAAAAAAAAAAAAAAAAAAAAAGAAGCAAAACAACAGATTGGAGAAGCATTTATGAGAATTTTCCTGAATTGCCCCTCATAAAACTACAGTTTATTTAGGTAACAGAAGAATGATTGTCGTAAATAATATCCTCTAGATTGAAATAACCATCAAATTACTTCCCAAAGAAAACCATAAAGACGAGTCTTGTGAGTAAGGTAAATCTTTTAGGTAAATTCCACCGCGTTTCCAGTTTCTTCCTTTTGCCTTCTTTTTGCCAGAATCATGACTAGAGAATAGACCAAAAAATCTTGAGCTGCTGTGGCGCTATGATGAGTGATGACTGTGTTTACAGTTAATTCTTCGGCTTTAAAGATTTGATTTAATAATATTTCCTACCTGGCTATGTTTTTTTTTTTTTTTGGGGTGGAATTGGTATATTTTATTTTAAGCAAATAAGAATTCTCTTAAAACCTTCGTGCCTTTTATTACGAGTTTTTACTTAAATCGTTTTTAATTTTTGGGTTCTAAGAGAAAAAAACCAAACCCTCTTATTTGTTTTATGCAATTTGAATTAAGTTAAAATTACCTTTCCTAAATTTTAAATAAACCCTTCTCGCATGACATGGTAATATAAAATAGAAAAAATATATTATGAAGTCCTCAAAAAATTATACTACCTCTAGTCATAAATTTAAGAGCTAGTTGACTAATTTGAATATATTATAGAAATAAGTTAGATTATTTATTTATAATAAATAAATATTATTTTTTCTAAAATATCCTTACTAATCAAATTTATTGGTTAGAATTACTATTATTTCTTGAGAAAAAATGGATAAATATGAGAGACAGAGGATTGGGGGTCTTATATTTAGAATCAAAATAAAAATTACACTAAGTCTTATATTAAAGGCATGAGGTGGTAATTGATAAAAAATTTCAATAACAAATTAGCTTATTATGAAAGTTTTTTAATGATTACATTTATTATGTAATTTGAAGTGGCTTCGTTTGATCTACGGCAGATCAGGCCCCCAAACGCCACCAAGGGGAAAAAAAAAGATATAGATCAGGCCCAAAAAGGATTAGGAGATGGGAATTTTGTTTACATGCAACAATTAATATTAATTTTAATTATATTCATATTAACGAGGATAATAAAAGGATTAACTATCTACCAAAAAAAAAAAAAGGATTAACTATACACTATACAGGTTATGAGACTGAAATCCCATACTTGATCGTTGGGAGTTGGGACCTTCGCGCTCTCTCCAGAGGATACCATTCCGAATCTTGCCCTGTGGCGGTGGCGCCATGGCCGATCGTTTCTTTCCTAACGAAATGCCAAACTTCGTGGCAGAGACGGCTGTTGGGGGAACTTCCTCTCAAGAAGCAAGAGACTCACTCACGAATCTCCTCTCACTTCCTTACTCAACCTTCTCTGCGAATCTCGAAAAAGCAGCCTTGGACTTGAAAGAATCAGTATTCATAACGCTAGCCGTTTCATTTAGGTTTCATAGAAGTTGGTTCACTTTAGGTTTCATAGAATTTGGTGTATTGTTTTACGCCATCATCAAATGTGTCTGTTTTCCGTTCGATCTTAAGTAGGCACCATATAGTCTTTTTCCTTTGTGCAACTGCGGGTTGAGGCGATATGGTATTGCGAATTATGAGTTCAGAGAAATACTCACTAGATGCTTATGCTTTGTTTTGCTCAGGTTGTGAGGGAGACATGGGGATCGAGTGGGAAACGCGTGAAGGATTATACTCTGTACACGGGGGCTCTGGGGACAGCATACCTGCTATTTAAAGCTTATCAAGTTACGAAGAATAGCAATGATCTTAATTTATGCTCACAGATCATTAAGGCATGTGATTCTGGTTCGATGGATTCTAGGTACTCTCTCTCTCTATAAACATGTGTACTGTATACGTGTATCTTTTATTGTGTCGGGCTTTCAGGTCAAATTTCGAGCAAACTTTCGGACAGGAGGCATACATGAATTATTAAAGTAATATTTTGACAATCTCTGAGTGACCTTTTTCGTTAAAAACGAGTTCAATACTCAATACATCCATAAGCTAATGCTCAATAGATACCGAGTCTTAAAGTTGTATTTGGAAAGAGCTTAATGGTAGCAATTTTGGTATATTAGTAGAGATAAATTGAGCTTCGTTTTATTTGTTATTTTATGAGGTGTAGGCGAATCACATTCTTATGCGGACGCGCTGGTGTTTGTGCCCTTGGTGCTGTCATAGCTAAGCATATTGGGGATGAAAGGCTCCTTAACAATTACTTAGGACAATTCAAAAAGGTATTATTTTGTTATTTATTATCGGACCTAATCCTATTGTTAGTTTTTTCTTGATATCCAGATTTTAAACTGCTTTTAATTATTTTTCCCTTTAACAACAGATCAGACTGCCACATGATTTGCCTTATGAGCTACTGTATGGCCGAGCAGGGTATTTATGGGCTTGTTCGTTCTTAAACAAGCATATTGGTAAAGATACAATATCTACTACTGACATGGTAAGGCATATATGCCTCGTGATATTGTTCCTTTGGAATTAATTTTGGCAATGTCACCTTTTGCTTGCTGTTAAAATGGGTTAGCCTTTCGTAGAAATCAATCGCGGATGAAGTTATTGCAGCTGGCAGACAATTGGCCCGCGGTGGAAGATGTCCTCTGATGTATGAATGGCATGGAAAGAAATACTGGGGTGCTGCCCATGGCCTGGCAGGAATAATGTATGTTTTAATGGACTTGGAACTAAAGCCGGATGAGGTAGAAGATGTCAAGGGCACTCTACGGTACATGCTTAAAAATCGGTTCCCTAGTGGCAATTATCGCTCAAGTGAAGAAAACAACTCCGACCGTCTTGTGCATTGGTGTCATGGTGCTCCTGGTATCGCTCTGACTCTCGTAAAAGCAGCTGAGGTAATGTTTCTTAGTTTATCATATTCAATGCAAGTTGCATCTATTGGTCTAGAAGGAGAAAGAACTAATCATACTCTCCAGTTGCCCATGTTTGGCGCCTTATGATTTGATTGCAATATTGAAGGACTAGTAGTACTAAGTGCATATATGTCATTGAAATTGGAAAAAAACAAATGTTAGATGACATGACTTCAGCTAGTATTTGAAGTGTTCCTTTTTTTTTTCTTGGCATACAATTTATTTCCCACGGAAGGTGCAGTTCTCGTAAGTCCCAAATGAGGAAGTTATGGCCTTCTGGTTTCGTTTTTCGCTGCAACTTTTCTTGCTTCCATAGAGCAGATTACATGCATGAATGCTCAAATCTGCTTGTCAGAAATATAACATTTTCAAGATCTTTTCATTAAATTCTTAAACAATCATCAGGTTTTTGGGGACAAGGAATTTGTGCAGGCAGCAACAGATGCAGGGGAGGTAGTGTGGAATAGGGGTCTGCTTAAGCGAGTTGGGATCTGCCATGGCATCAGTGGGAACACCTACGTCTTTCTTTCTCTCTACCGTTTAACGGGGAATCCGGAGTACTTGTACAGGGCTAAAGCATTCGCTTGCTTTCTACTTGACAGAGCGCAAAAACTGATCTCTGAAGGAAAGATGCATGGAGGAGATCACCCTTATTCATTTTTTGAAGGTCTTGGAGGAATGGCTTATATCTTTCTAGACATGATCGATCCTAAAGTGGCAAAATTCCCAGCCTATGAACTTTAAGTTTCTTGATGCTTGTGTATATTGTTGAAAAGCGGAACACGGGATAAAAACCTTCGAGGTGGGTGAAGACGTGTTTACTCTGACCAACGACCAGCTCTATTAAATTTGAGAATTTATAACTTATTAACTGCGACTTTGAAGTGCAAGCTAAGGTAAGCAAGGGATAAAATGTGATTGGGTTATTTAAAACTTGTCCTTGGTTTTACGTTAATCTGGTGTTTATTTAAAACTTGTTACAACAATACTTAAACCAATTCCACAAGTTACCTCCCATCTTCTGCAAAGAAATCTACTTCAGTTGGACCTACGCTCTCTTTGGAAAGGAAAGCAAATAATTAGATAGGACTAGGAAATTCCTTTTATTACTACTTTTCTATTTTATCGCTCCCTTGGTATTTATTGAAATATCAAACCATATCAGGTTTTCATTTCGCGAGAGATTAACGTTACAAGACGTAGAAAAAAATTCACTTTAGCCTCAAAATAGAGAGGCCTGCGCATTTACTCAACGGGAGATCCCATGAAGCGAAATCATGCTGCGTCGACACATTTAGTCCGAAGTTGACATGGATTAACTTCTAAGCACCAAAAATTCTGACTTAAAGATAGGGTAAGAGGAATATTTCACACTTATAATTGTAGTCAACTATGCACAGCGATGTTGTCATAAAGAAGCTACATGAACTTAACCAAACAGTTGAACGTTTTATTAGCAGTTTCAATTCACAAAAGCCATAGACTCCTGCTAGCCTTCTACAACAGGACAAAAAGAGCTCTGGGCTGTCACAAGCAATTCTACCGCAGTTTATCAGAACATATTCTTCACTCTTATGGGACTTCATTTTACCTCCTTCGTGAGGTTTTGAAACAAGATGTGCATCAGAGGCTCCCGCTTAAGCCAAACCAACAAGTTTCTCACTGATCTCCCACACCCTGCGAGCCTTCTCTGCATCACTAGCCTCCTGTGACAGCTGGTTTTCAAATGAAGCAGAGGCCTTATTCCAGCTCCAGTAAACACCAGATTTTGTCAGGCTTGGATCACTCACGACCTGTATCAAAATCACAATGCAAGTCCATAAGAAAGAAATATTCTTGAACTCATTCAACCTAGAATCCCTCGAGTCTCAGTGTTGTTATTACCTGAGCAAGTCTCTTTCCTGCTTCATCTTCTGAGACATAGCCCTTAGTTATGTACTTTTGGAATGGAGGAAACAATAATCTGAACAATGGAATGTGTTCTCTGAACAAGCCGGTTGTGGCTATGCAACCCGGGTAAAGGGAAGCAAATGTGATCCCAGTTTCCTCATGGAATCTTCGGTGGAACTCTTGCATGGTGAGCATATTGCACACTTTGCTGTCCTTGTACGCCTTGGCGCCATCAAAATCTCCCCCATCAATCATGGCTGAACTGTTTAGTCCATTCAATCCACCTGCAAGTCCCCTCAAGTCACCGAGGTTTGCCTTAGGAGGCACGTTTCCAGCCAGTGTGTTTGTGTTTCCTGTTAAATTTACACAAATCAGAACCAAAATGCAGCAGATAATGATACTGACTATATATCAACTCTCAATAGATTAGACCTGTGATTGAGCCCACAATGATCAAGCGCTTTGAAGGATAATCAGATTTGTTCAAGTCCTCAAGCAGCAAGCGTGAAAGGAGAAAATGCCCCAAATGGTTTGTCCCAACACTGAGCTCAAAGCCTTCAGCAGTAAATGTAGGTTCCTTAGCAGTTGGCAAGTAAACTGCAGCATTGCAGACCAAAACATCCAGTGGTCTGCCCGATCGCCTGAAGTTATCAACAAATTGACGGACACTGTCAAGAGAAGCAAGGTCTAAGTGCATAATGGTGTAGTTTTCCTTAGAAATGCCAGCTGATTTGGCGGCTCTTTCGGCTTTGAGGAAGTCCCTGCAGGCCATAATCACATGCCATTTTCCTGTTTCAGCCAAAGCCTTAGCAGTAGCCAGACCCAATCCAGAGGAGGCACCAGTTACCACAACACTTCCCTTCCTCAGCGTTTTCTTGCCTTCAGGTGTAGCCTTGTTAACTGCTGGAGTTGTCGTAGCCGCTGTCTGGGCCCTCACAGTTCCTACATTTTGCTGTAATCCTCTCACAAAGAAGTTATGTTAGAACATTGCCCCAATAATTGACAGGGATATTTTTTACCAAAGCCCAAAAACTGATGTAGAATTGGTCATAATGATCCCAGATTTGAATTCTCCTACGTTTTAGAGAAAGTTACACTGTTATCTGGACCCAGATTCAAGATATAACGGGGTCCAACATGAAAGAGGTGGACCCACATTATCTCTTTCTTCATAATTAACAGAGTAACATTGTTCAAAATTTGAGAGGATCCCAATCCCATTATATTCCCCTGTAACAGTCCTGGTGTTGCCAGAAGTATCAGACTACGATTGTGTTTTGAGTTTTGACCCAATAATATATTACATCAGAAACTTCAGAAATATGTAGCGCTTAAAAAAAAAATACTTCACGTCGAATTAAATATGGAATTCAATTTATAACAGGAAATCAAATAATATACTCTGGAAAGAAATTTAAAACGTTCTAACGGAAAGTTTATGTTGCAGTACCTTGCATCTCAATGCAGAAGAGCTGAAGTCAGCTCTGAGATTATCGGATAATGAAAGCCCAAATAGGGATGAATCCTTGAGAGAGACACCAGCTTTTCCCTGAGAACACAAACCCAATTCTCAAAACCTCAGTTCCCTGTAAACACTCGGAAAAAGATGAGCTTTCAAGTGGGAATTCGAAGACAGACCTCTTTGGGAATGGAGAAAGCAGCGGGAACCAAGGAAGCAGCAGCCTGTAGAGCCATGTTAGACTTGGAGCTCAAATCTTATGAGACCAGGTGTTTTACAATATTCTCCCGAGCAATCTCCGAAGCTATGATATTTTACCAAATCAGGACGCGGAGTTATATAGTGAAGTGTCTCTTCTGGATAATGAGTGGATAAGATTGCTCGCAGAATGGCCACCTGCCACATCAATTCTAACCAACCAATAAAGATCCGAGTTTTAGATTTCTGATATTTTGTGTGTGGGAGTAACTGAGCATATTACTATATTTTATTAGAGTTTGGTGGGCAGGGTTATTTTGGTCCATCAACGTCGATGAGTATTTGTCACTCTCCGAAGTATGGGCCGGAAATATCAGAACGCAGAAGAAGATCAAGCGTAGTGGCACTACATTCCGGTCGATGCTACGGACAAACCTGGTTGCTCAGATCCCATGATCCAGTCATTCGTTTCCGCTCCCAGGACAAGCCAGAAAGTTTAGTTTTTACTCATGTTGAAAAAAAGGTTCACTACTTAAAAATTTTTTTATTTTTAAAATAAAATATCTCATTTTTATATGTGAGAGAATATATTTTTAATTTAGTTTATTGGGTATAAAGTATAAACCATGTTTATTTAACCTCTCAAACCTTTTTTCAGTTAAAATTGTCTCCGCGGAAAACATGCGAGCCCCACAGAAAACAAAAATAACAGCGTTTTAGAATGTAAAGACATGTGAGTTTATATTGTTAATTAAGAGTTCATTCTTTTTGTTAGAGGAACTAATTCAATTTAATAAAAAAGATTTAAAAGATTAAGTGGAGTTGTTTTTTTTTTCCTTCGGAGACTACATTCAGAACAGAATAAATTTTTCACAGATACATTTAAAATATATGTTTACAATTTCTGAAAATAGTACTCATGAAATTATTAATTAATTAATTCTGTTCTTTTTTGGGGATACAGAAAAAAAACAAAACGCGGCGACTTATCTAAGAGACTCTTTCAGAGGCAATTAATTAAATTAATTAAAAAGGTGTTTGGGTGAAAATCAAATCATAGTTTTAAAAATACTTTTATAATATACAAAATAAATATATAGAAAAATTTATCTTATTTCATAAAAAAAAATATTTTTTAAAAGTATTTTTAGGTATTATCAAACACCTCCTAAATTTTTTTGGCAGAACATGCTAAAGATTTGGAATCCAACGTCCATGGATGCAAGATGCCGGGTTAACGAAGGGGCTAGCCCAATCTGCTTCAGAAGCATAATAAGAGCAGCCCATGTACAATTCTAATGGATATGTGTAATAGAAAGTTTATAATTTCTCGACAGTGTCTCGAATAGGATTACATTCAATAGGAAAATACCTATACTCTAGTAAAAAAAAAAAACAAAGAAAGAAAGTTTGCAACTTTTTAATTTAACCCTATGATTTCAATCTTCTCTAAAGATGCAAAAAATAGATATCGGAAAGCTCTTCTTTGTGGGCATAATTCCAAATCTCAAGTCGGCCCGCTCATCTTTATTTTGATCGGTACTGACTTCTTGAATATTCTTTTAATTCCATTTTTCTTTTTTCTGATTTTTTTTTTTTTGTAATGTGGGTTCACTGTTGTCTTCTTTACTATTGATAGGAATATATTACATCTACAACCTATGATCGGAATCAAGGTTGAGTTTTTAGAATTGCTTGTGCCTCGTTCTTGTTAAATCACAATGACTTTTATCAAGAATGAAAATATTTATTTTTATCAACAATGAAAATAAAGTTAAAAGAACCGGCAATTTGGTTCAATAGAAAGGTTTTAATCAAGCTAGTAATCTTGAACCCCCCCCCCAAAAAAAAAAAAAAACAAATCAAGCTAGTAATCGCCAGCCTGCATCTAACACTGAAAAGTAGACTCATTCAACAAGAAACTGAATTTCATAACCAGACTCGAAGTGCGTGTAAAAGAATCTTCACCTGTAATTCAATAAACTTTTACCTTGCTTGTTCCTCTACATTTCCTGACTACATATATTCATTGGATTCTAAACTTCTGACGTAAACTTTTTCTTTTCTTTCTTATCTTTAGTAAACCTCTTTTTTTATTTTTCCATTTTCTACTCCACGCCTGATCAGATGGCAACCTAGCTCATCCAACAAGCACAAGAACATTCTAAAGGAAAAAAATAGTGGAACCCTGCCAATATTACAATTCCCCCCCACCCCCACAAGATCCGTCTGTACAATTGTTCTTGTGAGCTGACATCACAAACTCACCCCTATTGTCGTCACAGGTCACCTCTTATATCCGCAGTGGCAATCCAAAATTCTGAAAAGCTCGGATTTCCCCTCGAAGGCCAGCAGTTACCATCACCAGGCCCCAGGCTGACATGTTCTGATTAACCCCGTCTGAGATATCCACACTAACTCGAGGGCTTCGTCTCCTGGCAGCAAGAACAAGTTTTTCCTCCGGCCATGTTGCGGAAATTCTGTCGAAAAAATAACTGTTTGAAGCATTAGCTATAGTTCCCTGAAGTGAACCATTGTTGGCCCCTAATGCCTCATTACCAAAACATTCATCTACTGGGGTTGGGGGATGATTCGCGGATGAGACCTCGTCAGGGATACTATCAGTCCCGGTTTGTTCTCCAGATAAAGTATCTTGCATTTCCCATGCGTCACCCATGCCAGGCCAAGGAATAGCCACTGACACACCTCTACAATGAAAATGTTCATATGACTGTGTGATGTTGACACCTTTGGTTCTGTTGGGCCTGCAATTAGCTTCATTTTTCCACACATACACATGGGAATCCTCGCTTGCTGAGACTACATATTTTCCATTGGCTGTGAACGAGGCTAAAATTTGGCTATTCGTGTTACGAAACCCTGCATAAAACTTACATCAGTTAAAATGAAAATGAGTAAGCTTCAAACAGTAAACACATTACATGTTCCATTAAATGTGCTATTTTTTCACATCATGTCAACCTAAAGTAAGGTAAAGTCAATATTGTAGGATTTTGGTTTAAAAAAAAAAAAAGGTCAATATTGTAGGATTGACTGAAAGAGGCTCGACTTTCCGTAAGTAAGGGCAAGGGTCCAGATGAAATATAGTCAGGTTTTTCCACAGAGTAAACCAAAACGATGAAAGCAGTTTACAGAAATAGCATATTCACTTGTTACATTATTTTACTACACAAACTGTCTTCTCAAGTTATCAGTCTAACCTTTGAACTTATGAACCAGATCAACACCATCAACCAATCGAATTCGGGAATCAGCAGATGTTATGAGTAATTCTGATGAACTTCCTGGAGCAAACTGATAGGAAAAACAAGTTAGAAATTGTACGCATGGCTATCAGTCAATGCAAATAAACTATGATCAGGTACAACCTCCTTTCATTATTCTGTCTTCCATTTTAGTTTTTCAGATGGGACACCAACAAACGGGACAAATCACATAACAGCCGTGTAGTTCATTAAAATACCTGGAAGCCAGTAATTTTCTTGAGATTTGACTTCTTTTTTTTGTTCTGCAGCATAATCTCACTCTTCTGTTGCAATTTATTTTCTGAATGAAAATAAAAATAATAATCAATGGCCATAAAATCAGTAGAAGCAAGCATAGATGACCAAATAGAGTTAAAAAGAAAGCCGTACTACTGTACCAGATGTATTATACAAATGGCAGCTGCCCTTGTCTGAACCTACCAGTGCACCCTGCAAAAAAACCAATAAATATCACTGAATGACAATGCACTGGTTGGATTTCTTAGATCGCCAATATGGTGCATATTAACCTTGGACCAACCTGACCATCAGGTGTGTAGCAAGCAGCAGTGACCATCTCATGCAAATCAGTCCAATCAACAACTTGACGATCAGGAATACTCCATATACGAACCTTAGAATCCAAAGATCCGCTAATGAAGTATCTATCATCAACGGGATTAAACTGGATGCAAGTTACTGTGTCCGGCAAAAGACAGATTGTGGCAAAGCATATGATTAGCAAGGAACAAGATATGGGAAACAGAATAGCTTTCATTGCTAAAATTAACCACTCCTTTAGACAAGAAAGAACTATAACAAGATGTCCTATGTTTCAAAAGTATGACCAACTTTTTTGCACGGGCATATATGAGATTTACTTGTAATACGATAAACGTTTTAAGATGTCATAATTGCATCTACTCACCATAGTCACTGTGTGAAAAGACTTTCAAACAAGACTTGCTAGATAGATGCCACAGCCGCACAGTTTTATCCATTGAAGAGGAAAGCAGGTGCTGAGCAAAAGAGGAAAACACGCCGTTTTATGATAATAATTCAAAATTAAGGTAATTCCACAGCTACAACTCAGCGTCTAAATAAACACAGTTAAATCTCATTTTAAGATTTGTAATGAGATCTTCAGAATTCTGACATTACATTACACATTTCCAATTCAACTAGATCATCACAATGAAAGACACTCATCCGAGTCACCTAGACTGGCAATTCCCCAAATACGCGTCCCTCTTTAATCTGAAAATTTTCAAGTTGAGAATCAAATCATTTCTACCATCCCCGTACATGATGAATGAAGATCAGCCAATGAACAGTATCATAACCATGGATTTAGGTATGCTTACCACTCCTATAAAAATAATCTAACCTAAAAAGTGATGACAATCCTACTGTTAAGCTTCAAAAAAGATCAACCCACTATAGCATAGCCAACTCCAATTTGGTCAACATAAAAGAATCAACTAATTGATCATAATGCTGAGTTACAAACGGAAGCATCCAGAAAACACACACACACACACACACACACAGAGACACAGATATATATTGATAGAGACCAAGATAAAACAGTAGACAAGTAATGCTGAAACTGATATTAATCACACAAAAGGTTGGGTTCAATACAATATATAACTGGCACAGTTCACACAGGAAACAACAAAGGTCACTCAACTCACTAGCACACTAAAATACACACTGAAATACAAAGAAAATGATGAAGAAAGACTCTCTTCCTCCACCCCTCGCCTGGCATTCGAGAGGCCAGCACTCTCCTCACCAAACTCAGTCCAAAAAAAGTAAGTCCCGCTTCCACTGAGAACCCAACGAATATTAATACTCCAAAAAGTGATCCTCACAACCCCCAATACAACAGTTTCCTAGGTCAGGCCTATAGCCACCCTAGAGTAACTAATATGTTCAATAACTTTCTCTAAAAGACAATAAAGCTTGAGGCCAACGTCCAGGGTAGCAGAAAGTGATTTTACTCTTCCATGTATCTTGCTAATTTTACTTTTATAGGTCTGGTAAATAAAGCTGATTCTATCATTACCCTCCCCTAAAAGCTGCACCTTGTCCTCAAGGTGATAGGTGGCAAAACCATGAGTTACATGTTCATCTGTTTCAATAATCATGCCATTCTTCGTCAATCCTTGGGCGATATCTTCAACTTCTATGCCTGAAAATGCACTTCCATTTTCTTCATTGGCTCTTGAGAAAATTTGTAGCTGAATATCTGTTCTTTTGCTGACAAAACCACAAATTCTAGTTAGTCCCTCAATTTTGTCAGCATATTCCACCTGTCGGAAGCAATGGGCCATAAATAAAATTACTATATTCTGATAGATGGCCCTAAATGCGTCTAATTCATCACTAGCTTCAATTAGCAGCTTAAAAACAGCAGAGATATCTGAAGTATTATGCAGAACAGATGCAGACCTATCACCTCCAGCCACTTGAGCATTGAAAGTAATTATTAACACCCCTTGACTAGAAATTATGACAGCCCACACAATAATCTCCAGCACAAAAAACCTTTTACCCATTAACCAGAATCGAAGTCGAAGATGTATGGTCATTCTCCCTTGGTTCGGCCATAGCTCCCCAAAAAGACCCTTAACCCTGACCCACGTGTTACCGTCTTCAACACATAGTCCTTGCTCAGAGAAGTAAGTCAGAGGCAATATAAACTGATGGGAGACGTTGGGTGTACTGAATTCCTCATTAGAGCCATAGAATAGTTCGAAATCAGGGAGAGGTACAACTGAGATATTATGTAATAAAAATAGGCATCCATCTTCCTCTTCCCGAGTTTTCACTAACACAAGCTGAATTTTCTGGTTAAACCAGAATATAACTTCTACCAGAACAAAACGCACCTGGACCCTCCTTAGTGTTTTGAAGTTCTCGAATGCGAAGGCCCAATAATCTGTCTCTTCAGAAGTCTCAATAACCCAGAAAATTTCTCTACGTAAACCCAAAATCTCCAAATCATGAGCCTCTGATTTGTTTCCTATAGGGCCAGTCAACCCGTTAATCCCAGAACATGCAGCACCAGAATAAGCAAGTGGGGTGGAGTGAATTTTTTGTTTCCCAAGCTTCCAATATGTATCGTCGGTATTTGTACAGAAGAGACATTGCTGTACATCGCTAAAACCTCCGAAACTAGAACATACGAATTTGCAGAATTTCTTGTAGGCACCAAGGGTTGTTTTAGTAGGAAAGAAAGTCGCCTCTGTTTCAACGCCTTCCACCCCTGTATTCAGACTGCCCTTGGCTGGTTCCCAAAAGCGCAATGGAAATGTTCCCGTCAATCTATTTGAAGATGAGTTGGATTGCGGCGTTATGGATTGAAGGCTTTGGGCTACTTTAAAGCCCAAGCCCATCTTCCTCTTAATAACTCTGAAATCAGTTGGTGTATGCGACTGGGTCATTCCCCTCTCATAATGTAAGAAGATATTGGGCCCAATTTTACCTATTTTTGGGCTTCCACTACAAGCAATTAGCTTAACCCGATCCAGTCTCCACTTGCTTTTCACCCTACCTTTGCTGTTTCCTCTCTCTCCTGTGTTTAACGACCAGTTTTGGGGCCGTTGGTTTCTGCCGTCTTGACTGAATTCGAATGACGACTCCCCTTGTGCGAAACGTTCAAACGCATCATTGTTTGCATGCCCTACTACTGCCACCTTCTCCTTCGTCTCCCGCATCTTACTTTTGCCCAAAGAAATTGGTATCTTAATTTGTTTTCCAGCCGCTGCAAGTTTTTCTCCCTCTTGCTCATCATCATTTTGCTTCTCATCTTCCTTCTCAACATCTTCTTGCATTTTTCCTTCTAACTGAAAATCTTCAACAACGTCTCGCAAGGTCTTAAGAGTCAACGGTTTCAACTCTGCCTTTAGCTTCTTTCTTCGTCGCTTATCATATTTCCAGTATTTTTTCCTCTTCTCAAGATTATAGGTTCGTGTCTCCTTCTCAGTCGCTTTTGCTGCAGCGGCACCCATTTGTTGAGTTTCGATGGAACTGCTTATCATTATTTTGGTAGCTTGTGAGACTTGAGAACCTTCGTGTATCAGCCTTTCTTTTGGATGGTTGCTGAAAACTTCTTCAAGCTCCTCTCTTTCGGAAAAAGGTTGAAACTTTATTAGTTGTTCAGCCTTCAGTTCTTTCCCTACTTTATTCTCGGTTGTGGCTTCCTCTGGGCTTATGAAATCACTTCTTTTAACATCAAAGGACTTTGGTGCCGTTATAAGCTGCAACTCAGGTTGATCTTTTTCAATCTTCTCTTCAAGTGAAAAAGGCGCCAACTTAAATTGTTGCTGAATAGTAGGCTCTTCCTGTCCCTCTTCTTGCTCATCTGATTTCTTCTTGTCTTCTTTCTCTTCTATTACCCCATCTTCAACTTCCCTTTTTGTCTCTGAGTTTTCCTCTGCTTCCACAAACTTATTCCCTTCATTTCCTTTTTGTAGCTCTTGTTTAGTAGAGAACCTTTTTATTATCTCCCTTTTGAGCTCACTCCAGCTTTGTATGGTTGCTTGGGTGTCAAACCAAATAAGCCAGTCCATAGCTTTTCCCCAAAGACATGCCACAGCAACCTCCAACTTTTCATCCTCTGCGATGAAGTTGTTTAGGAAATATTTTTCCACATGACAGAGCCATGCAAAGGGATCCTCTCCGTAGAAAAAAGGTAGTGTTTTGTACCATCTTTCATCCTTCACCACCATTCTTCCTACCTACAGCCCTAAGATCTCACTGCTCTGATACCAAAATGATAGAGACCAAGATAAAACAGTAGACAAGTAATGCTGAAACTGATATTAATCACACAAAAGGTTGGGTTCAATACAATATATAACTGGCACAGTTCACACAGGAAACAACAAAGGTCACTCAACTCACTAGCACACTAAAATACACACTGAAATACAAAGAAAATGATGAAGAAAGACTCTCTTCCTCCACCCCTCGCCTGGCATTCGAGAGGCCAGCACTCTCCTCACCAAACTCAGTCCAAAAAAGTAAGTCCCGCTTCCACTGAGAACCCAACGAATATTAATACTCCAAAAAGTGATCCTCACAACCCCCAATACAACAGTTTCCTAGGTCAGGCCTATAGCCACCCTAGAGTAACTAATATGTTCAATAACTTTCTCTAAAAGACAATAAAGCTTGAGGCCAACGTCCAGGGTAGCAGAAAGTGATTTTACTCTTCCATGTATCTTGCTAATTTTACTTTTATAGGTCTGGTAAATAAAGCTGATTCTATCATATATTGAGCTGAGTACTTTCCCCTTTATAGCAGCAACATTCAGTTCCATTTTTATCATAACCATATCAAGCCATTCACTAAATTAACAGCTCATAATCTGGAGATATCCATATGGTTTCACTATCAACATTAGTTCTTAATAATATAATACAAAAGACAAACAGTTAAAGTATCATAATAAGGCATAACACCATCTATCCAAAATAACATAACTTGCCCATCTGAATTGTGCATTGATAAAACCTTTTCTAGAAGATGCCAAGCCCTGGGGAAAATAAATCTTCCTACTGCTATCAATCAAGGAATAAGACTTAAGACTGCAATTTTATCCAAAATAAACATTATTGAGACTGCAAAAAAATTACTCAGAACTGTAATTACTACAACGACTAAAGCAGCAGTGCTAGATTGTGTACAAATACCATCCTTGTCTTCTTCAAATTTAGCAATAACATCAGAGGCACTATAATAAGGGTAATAGTCTCAACCAAACCCCTATCTAAAGTAAATTTTAGTGAATGTATTTCAGCATTAACATGAAAAAAATGCAACTAGATAGCAGTACATAACAATATTCTAATGCAACTAAAAATCCATAAGCTGTCCCTCGCTGCAAGGTTTTATGAGTGTATACACAATGTCTAATTCATCAACTAATTTCATACAAGACTGAATAGCTCTAAGATATATTCAGATATTGAACACATTGTTGGAATTTACATTTATTATATCAGCTAACCTGAGATTTGGACCAAGATAGATCAAGTACATCATCATCATGACCTTGGAATGTGCAAATAGGTTTTTCAGTTAGTCCAAACATAGTTTCTGGCACCACTAACTGGTCCAAGCTCAATGATTTTCTGCTGATGGATGACCTCCCCCTTCTCTTTGTCTCTGGATGGCTAGGAGATAGCAGGGTTGGTTCAGTGCATGCATTCATAACAAATAACGTATTCATATTCCCGTGGCCAGGTTTCTCCATTAGCAGCTCCGCCTTCTTCTCCGACTCCACAACTTGCCACACATGAATTACACGATCCTCACCTGCACTAGCAAGATATTTCCCGTCCAAACTAAACTTAATGCTCCATATAGATCCATTATGAGCCTGTATCTCCTGGCTTTTATAGAGTGCAGTAACCTCTTTACATGACTTTCCATACTGCCTGACCCGTACTCTTTCAGGTCCATGTAAACAAGCATCTTGGCTTTCATCTGTAGCAGAACTTGACCTCCGCCCACCCTTTTCTGACGAGTTATCCCTTTCATCACTACTCCTTCTGTCCTTGTAACCCGTCATACTGCTAGCAACACTCTTTATACTCTTAAACCAACCCCCTTTCTTCTTTATCTTCGTACCACCTCCACTACCGCCATTTGCAGTAACATTTGCATTTGAATCCCTATTGTCCTTGTTACCCTCCCCGAAATTTTGTCGTCTCATCAACTCTAGAACAATTGGTGAATGTCCCACTGTCATCTCAAACTCCTCCATGGTCAACTGCCTTCCAGTTCCCACTTCCTTTAATTTGTCCAACGTTCCGTCTTCCCTAATCTCATTGACTACAAATTCTTTCCCATTATCGAGATCTCTTATGGTGCACACCTGTTCACCAGCCCTGTCAAGTCCATTACAGTTCGCACCCTCCTCCACTTCCACCTCCCCACGACCTGCATTCTCCAAAACTGGCTCCACAGAAAACTGGCCGAAATCCACGCTCAAGTTCGAGTAGCCACTTCGGATTTCACCTAACCTTCTGTAATTTTTCCCTGAAGGAGGCTTACTGGGGAAGGCGGCATTAGCAATCGGGGATCCGCTGCCATTGCCGCACCTCGACTTAACGATTTGATTACGGCAATTTACATATGAGCCATTCTCTGAAGTGGCCGAGCGAATAGAAAGAATTGAAGAACAAGAAGAAGTAGACTTATTATGCCGACGACGAGACTGACCAGTACACTCTTGCCAGTCACCGAGATCCGTGCCACCGTCGGATTTCGATCGGGATATGCCGGCGGTGCAACCAGAAGTTTCACCATGTTTTTGGCGACTCAAGTGATCGGTAAAAGCCGATCGGCCAAACTCTCCATCGGCTATTTCTCTAAGATCATCGGCAGAAGCAGCCTTCCCCCGTGACAATGACGGGTCGCCGGCGAGACCCATCTCGCGAAGAAGACGGGTCCGGCGTTCAGAAACCGACGATGGTTGGGAGATCCAAACATCGTACTTGCACATGGCTTCAGGGAATTTGGGTACGGGGAAGGGTTGGCCCGAACCATAATTGGGAGAGTTGGGACTGGAGCCATTGTAGTTGTCGTCGTCATCGGAGTTGGAAGTGGAGCAGGAGCAAGAGGACGAAACTAGACGGTCATTAGACTCGTAGAAGCGCTCTTCTTCGTCTTCTTCGTCCCTTGCTTTGCTCATTGTTTATTGGGCATTCCCATCTCAATGAAAATGCCCAGAAAACAAGCGGGTCGGACCAGGATTCTCAAGGTGATATTATTCCTCAGAAACTATAGCGCTCAAGTTCAATCTGGAGAACGTAAATGGAAAAACCGAGGCGATCAGACAAAGAAGGACATGAATCTACGAGAGGTTTTGGATTAGAAATCAGATCCAATGAGAGCGAGGGGCGAGGGACTGGAACGAAGCCCTATGCCGGGGTGTGTTGGTGTTGGGGAATTGGAGTTCGCCAAACATTGTTTTGCTTTTGTTTATGAGAGAGAGAATGTGAAGGACGTCGTCGTCCTCTTCTTTCCAAATTCCAATAGAAAATGTCTGAGAAACTGGAAACGAAGAAATTTCTTCTGGTTCTTTGGATGAAGATGAAAAATAAAATAAAGAAGAAGGAGCAGTAAATTCCTTTACATGACACAGATTCGTCATATTTTATTGTTACCGCCAAATTGCCAATTGCTTTTTAGTTGATTGCAATTATAAATCTATTGTTATGCTTAGCTTGTAAGTTCTTACTGTTTCAGAGGAACTCGTAACTTTAACCGATTCTCGTCATTACAATATAACTGATGTTTGGAAACTTCAGGGTTAAAAAGTACGAGCAACGAGCATGTACGGCGAATCCAGCAAGGAGACCCGCGCTAATTTCAACTTTTCGTTAATTATATTTTATTTTAAAAAATATAAATGCAGGGGTTGACGGCAAACAAAAATGTAAATTTTGTAGAAAATTGCATATTTTATCATAATATAAAATTTATAAAACAAAAACATGCATTATTTGTAGGTCATGAAGATTATTACTCATTTTATTTCATAGGTAAGCACAACACTTGCAGTCTGATTTTTTTTTTCTATTGAGTATAATGCTAGTAAAATAATAATATTCGCATATTCAATTTGTATATGATATATTAATTCGGTAAAGAAAAACGAGAATAGACTTTTGTATATTGCAGAGAAGTATTTAAATTATTTTGAGACAAATAGTCTCACGTCAATAAGGAAAAACGAGTGAAGAAATATTTTCGTCAAAGATAAAAGAATATCATCTATTGTTTCATTATTTATGTTTTGCATGTAATATAGTGAGTGGCATCTTTCATTTTGATATTGAAAAGATAATATTTGATGGGAGAAACCATGATATTTAGACGGCATTATGCATATGGCCTTTTCTATTAGCATCTCCATTAGCATATTATTCGTTAACCATTAAATAGAACTAGTACTATGCACAATAATAATCCAAATCACAACAAAAACCTTTATTTTTTTTACTGCAAGTTTTATTAACTAATAGTCATTAATATAAGACTTAATCAGAGAGCTGATGTTAGTCTTATATGTAAGACCTAATTTATATATTTATCAATTTTTTCTAAATCAACTTTATTGATATTTCCCTAACAATAATCAAATAGAAAAGGAAATAAGGGAATTAAAAAATAGGGAGAATTACAATGAGGTCCAAAGTAAGGAAAACAATTAAAAAATAAGTCCCAAAGGTTGTCATTATCACTATAAGACTTGTCATTATAAGCTGTTGAAGTTGTTATTGGGACATTTTGATAATTATTTCTTTTCTGTGAGACTTGATTGTAATTATCCCTAAAAAATATGCTTCGGGTGTGTTAGAAACAATATATTATATTAATTAATTTAATTAATATTTTTAACCTATTCAAATTAGTTGAGTAGGTCTTATATTGAGGATACGAGGAGTAATAGGATTAACATTGTATACTTTTGTTGCGTTTCGATTAGTTATTTTTACCATGGCTTCATTCTGATAATGGATCTGCTTGTAATTTTGTGGTTGTTGATAATAGTATATGTATTCGTTGGCAAAAAAAAAAAAAACAATCTAAATCGCAACCAAAATTTCAGAGACGGCGTCTTGAAATATGATAGCCCATTCACACTTGAGTTAGCAAATATGTAATCCAAATTCCAAATGTGAATTATATTATGGACACACTTGACAAGGACACGCAAAGAGCAATCAAGGCGTGACTAATGCGTCTCCCACTTGTTACCAGTAAATATGACAAATTGTGATAGGCATGGTTTTTTGTCAAAATTGATGGGATTAATGATATAAATTTAACATATTTTATTCGGATGACATTTTTGTTATTTTGAAAAAACGTGTGTGTGGGTAAATTTTGGTAGGGATTTTTTTTTTTTTGGGAAAAAGTTGGATGGCATTAGTGAACAAGAATACTAATATTAAAATGAGAAATGAAAAGGAGGGGGGAACATGTTGGAGAGAAAAGGCAAAGGTTGCTTGTCCAAGGTTTTGTAGTGAGTGGTAACTGAAAAGAAAGGCATAAATAGAATATTATTATCCCAATCGTGACATTCCCCTTCCCATATGTCATGCAATCATTGACTTCTTCTTTTGGTTTGGTCAAACTTAACCTTGCATTCCTCACACGCCACCGTCTCCTCCTTTTTCTTTCCCCTTTTTAACTTCTAGTAACAAGCCAATCTCAATTTATAAAGCGATGAATTTTTTTTTTCAAATTTAAAATAGTTTTAGACTTAAAATTTAGATAATTGAGAATACAAAAAAAATTTATTGTTTAATTTTACTACACATTTCATCTTTATTAGTTTAATGGGAACTAGTTTGCAAGTGTCAATTTGAATAAATTCAAACAAACAAAAAATAGCTTCTTTGAAAGGAAGTTGACTCAGAACACTGCATTACTATATTAGATCATTTGGCCGCAAAAAAACTACTGGTACCTACCGCGCATTTTACTAAGGTTTATGGCATACACAAATATATTAATGTCATATTTGAATTCAAGATTTTATTCAAACATGATAACTAGAACTAGTATTAGGATAACTTGCGGTTGATATTTGGTGGCAAGTCAAAATTGGATATTTTGATTGTTTCATGATTTTATTCTTCAAACAATCATAATTTTTTTAAAAAAAAAAAAGTTGATATTGGGCATGAAAAACCTTATTCTTGTATTTGTATGAAAGGCCTCTACATTTCATATTTACGCGCGTGGGATGAAGCTAACAATCAAAGTTAAATAAATTATAAATCTTATTATTATAATAAATCAAATCAAATTATCCATGATAAATCATAAATAGTAAACCATGCATTTAAAGTTTAAACTAGAGTTGGTAATACAGGCCAACTTGCAGATTACAAGTTGGTCTGTGACAAGATGTAAGTTACTCAGTACATGTAATTGAAAAGTCCTGTATACTTTGGCGATTGGCTGAACTTTTCAACCCGCCAAAATTATACCTTTTTCTACTTTTTTTTTTATATATGTTAACACGTCACGGGTTCAAGCTATGGTGATACGGGTTTGATTTTTTGAGGTGAAGGTAAATTGGTTTGAGCAACCATAACTTGCTTTTTTTCGGCGGATTCGTGAATCGAACTTTTATTATCAGATCTAGTTTAACCCAAAAGAGTCAAACACATATGACCCCAAGCATATTTCCCCACCCGCGGGCAGAGGAAAAATAAGGGCACTGATGAAGGCCTATATTTTAGTAAGTATTTTAGGAAAATTCATATGATTGTCAAATAAATTCAAAAAAAGAATGGTTCCACTGTGAAGGTGGTGAAGGATATGGATATAAGATAATGGGATATAGAAAATTCAGGCAATTGATATTGAAGAGGGAGCAGTATATATATGTGTGTAATATATATATATATATCTACAACATGGGAAATCTAAATGTGAAATTATTTTATCGTCGTTGGGGTTGATTGTAAAAATAAAGAATAATACAAGGGTGCCTGTTGCTGCCAAAAAAAGACATCTCAGGTCATCGTCGGTGTTCAAATTGCACAGCGCCTAACAACTCAGAGATAATCCCAATGCCATAGATTGTTGCGATTCGTGTTGTTTTGTCTGACTAATTAATACGATGAGACCGCCTCAACGGCTCGTTTCGTTGATTCATACACACGTTTTAATTTGTGTGTAATATTAGTATTAATACTATTTTTGTTCTAAATGTGAAACCTATTTTATAGTTTGTATTTAACACAGAAATAGTATTATTTTATTTTTAATTTATTATAAGACCGATAGTTATTTTTCTAATGATGTATATATTGAATGAGGTAAAGTTGTAAAATTGTTATATTTTAATTAAAAGTTCATGTGATTTAAGATTTTTTTTATCTATATAAAACTTAGTAAAAATGACTTATAAATAAAACTAAATGAATAGATAATGTTATGTGCGTTATACAGACACTCACAAAAGAGATGACAGATTTGTGGCAACTACTTTCTTGCAAAGTTTTTTTGGAAAAACTGGTAAAAAATTTCTGCTTAAAATTTTTTTTTGGTTAGGGAAATCTAAATTAAAACATTACTATTCTGGTCCTAAATATAAGACTCTTATACACACTAGTATATAAGAGTCTTATATTTAGGACCGGAAGAGTATATTATTTTCTGTAAATGAAATTGTACAGAATGCCGAAACTTTTTATGTACAAAAACATATGATCAGATCCTTCTTCTCAATAAAATTTTCTAACAAAAAATTTTCACCGATTTTTCATTCACAACGTGAAAAATTCAGTTCAGTTAATTTCAAGTTAAAATCACGTCATCAAGTTTTAGATTAATGATTTTTTTTTTTTAAATTATTGACACTTGCATTTGGCTAAACCCAAAGTCATATGGAATTATCTGACCCTGGAGTTGGGATAATTAATTCTTATGTTCTTGATTTGTTTCTAATTAAACAGCCTGTTTGAGTAAAGCAAGAAGCATGTTATATGGTAATATAATGCAACATGCCCTAAAAGTTGGACTTAATTATTAATTAAGATCCAACACTTAATAATTGGCACGACTGCATATAATTGAGATTACAAGATTTCGCAAGATATGTGAGTGTTTGTGTGTGTATTTGATGTTGACGATCGAGCAAGTTGCTCATAATTTTGCACTTCTGTTGAATAACCCTTTCATGTGTTTCATGATAATTCTATTACGTTCTAATTATTTTATTAATTAATGGGTTGCTTCCTAGAAAGTATATATATGACCCTTTTTTTGCCCTTTTGAATAGTAAGTGAACAACTAATATATTGAAAACTCTCTCTTTATATGTACATATCAATAAGGTCAGAATCGGATCATAAATTAATTAGTCGGATTATTGATTCACTGAGCTGTGATTAAACCAACCTCAATGAAAATTATATTTTTAGAAAATAAAAAAACAAAAACAATTCTGCATGGTTCTCCATCGGTTTTGATAGATATTCCCAGGCCGGATTATATTATGGTTTTTTTTTTTGTTGAACTAGCTAATCGGATTCAATTCTAATACTAAATCTATACTATAAACCAGATATTATATTTAGAATCAGAAGACACAGTATTCTTTTTATATGTGTGTATGATTGTATGCAGTTTAAGATCTCCCGATTACGGGTTTCTTGAGAAGCTAATCACCTTTATCATGCCAATAAACTTGAAACTACAGTCTAAAAAATTGCAACAAATGAGCTAAAAATTTAGTTTACTATTTCATGTAAGCACTTTGTACATTTAGGTCCCGTTTGGTAGAGCGATATAAATCCCCTATAAACACGTTTCACGTAAGTCGAAACAAAACTCTTCTCATATATTTACTTTGCATTCTGTAAATCACTATTGAAAAGCAACTTATAAGCTATTTATAAACTGTTCCAAATAGACCCTTAAATTTCATCTGAACTATCAAATAACATGCTTAAGTGGTAAGCATTTAAAATGTTAGTTTTCAATAGTTTTGCTAAATATATATATAATAAATATTATAATTAATTATTGACGCATGTGCGTGTGTGCACTCACACATGCGCAACAGCACAAGCACACAAATGCAAGAATTTTTGCAAAGATATCGAAGCATGCAAGCTTGGCTAAATACTCTGCATTACAGATCGTTCTTTTGAGAAACCAATGTGAACATCACTGGAGCTTAATAATAATAATAATACTATCTGAGTAATATAAAAACTACTTTAACATTTATGTTGGTCTTAAATATAATATCCTAATCTACTTTATTTTTTATATTTATCTATTTTTTCTAAAGTAGTTGTTATAATAGTTGTGTATGTTAAATGTTTCATCAAATCATAATTATAGCTCATATGTATAATTAACAAAGATATTTTAGGAAAGACAACGTATATTTATTATAATAACTAACTTAACTAATTTTCTCAATCTATTCAAATTAATCAACTAGTTCTTATATTAAGGGCTGAAAGTAGTAATAAATAATGAATCTCACTTCATTCTAATTAAGTTTTAAAATAACAATTAGATTAAGAAATTTCTTCTTGATAATGAAAAACCCATTTTCATTAAAGATGCTTTTTTTTTTCCATCACGACTCACAATGTAAACACTACCATTTATTATATTTGGACTTGTCAAATTTTTTTTTGATGTGCGCCTAAACAAGAAAGCGTATTTTTTTTAGATAACTATTATTTGATAACTTGTATAATTTGAATTAAATGCTTACTTTACAGCTAAATTAAGAAGATATATAGGTATGAGATGTCAAATAGGCATAGATTAAGCGGGGGAGCATGTGTGGTACAAGAGAAGGGAGAAGAGGACAAGCTTTCAATAATCAAGCAAAGCCCTTCTTCAAAGCCTGCATGTGCACTGTACTATCTCTTTCTTCCCATTCAATTTATAACAGCAAGAAACAGACACACATCCACATAAATGCTATGGGGCTGCCCCTCTTCACAGCCCCCTCTTATTTTATAGAGAGCTGCCCCTTAATATTATTCCTCACAAAATTAGCTACTGAAGGCATTGGTAAAAGCTGAGAATGATAGATTAAGCAGTATGAACTCTTTTAAAAAGAAGTAGAAAAAAACTGTGAACATTCCACAGAGTTATTGAGTGAAACTTTTTTGTTAACAATTTATCAAAAAATTTAGTCATTGATAGAACACAATGATATCACATGATTCATATAATTAACCTCAATTAACGAGATAAAACTTGTTTTATTGTTGTTGCTGAAAATTTTGTTGCAGTAAATTATGGGATTAAAACAATTGCTTAATTAATAAGGTTAATCATAGGTATGATTAATTAACAAGGTTAATCATAATCATTACAAAAGAACATAATGTGGGATTATTCAAGGAACTATTAATTCTTCAACTGTGGATTTCAAGTTAAACAAAGGGCACCAGGCCTATGGGGGCAAGGGCCTATGTTGGAGTCCAATTATGTGACTTAGCTTTGCTCGTTCGTACTTCTTTCATCTTACTAGGCCGTCCATTTGTTTGTGCTTTCCCCCTCACTGTTACCTGAAAAGAGATTCCATTTCAGTTGCTTTTGTGCTCTCCAATACAAATTACTCGCTTGGCAGAAAGTCTCTCGGCAAGTTGGGACTGTCAGAATTCTTAGGGTCGAGGAAAAGTCATTTCCATTATTTTTTTAAGTTAAATTTTTTTCCTTTAAAACAAAAAAGCTCGTAAATATCACCAAGACTGTTCCCATCCCAACTTTAAAGGCACAAATTCATACAAGTGTCCCAAAAGCAACGAACGAGCTATCCGTATCAAACAAGGTAAGTGGCTGCTAAGTGCTAACGAACCTAAAAAGGTTCTAGATTGTGGGGGAAACATATATTTATATGTATAGCTTTAAAAATTTAACATACAACCGTTAAGAATACGAATATTAAAAAGGATGTTGAAGGCGGTGTTCAATTATGAAGGTGTCGTATTTGGAGTGTTATATCCATAATTGCAGTGCCCCTTTTTAATCTACTTATTGTTAGGCAAATGCCAGTTGTTACTCTTTTACGAGGTGATTCCTTCAGCGTGTATCTTCATCTTGATCTGCAGCCTTCATCTTACAATACGAGCTGCTGGACGTATCCTTTTGTGAATCTTTTTATAAGTTGATGTTTGTCATGTGCTGTTGTCTTTTTATATTGTACTTACTTTTTGGTATTTGATCGTTTTATGGGGAAAAAAAAATACAAATATTGCAACATCATATGTGTTCTTTATGATTTTTTATATTTAAAAAACATTAGATTCTTTTTTCAGCACCACGAACTAATTTCTCCTGATATACAAGAATCTTCATTTACTATTTATATTGATGATTTGTTTCCTTTCGCAATTGAATTCTCTTGGACCTTGTGTTTGTGCTGTTTAAAAAATTAACTTCTCTGCAATTTTCGTTCAATCTCCGTGTAATTTCTACTCAATAACTCGGAATCTCTATGCAATATCTATGCAAACTCTAAGTAATCTCCGTCGGTTGAGTTAGTATGGAAGAAAAGTTTGGGTGGAATTAGAAGTAATATCGCTAAATATATATTAGGAACACTTAAAGAAGACCTTTTTTAGCCATACTTATAAAACACTAAGAAAATTTTTTTATATAGATGTACAATTTTACTTTTTATTTATTATTGTGTCGATTTTGTTTATATAAGGTATAATTTATATTAAATTGGAATAAAGTTAAAAAGATATCGAATATTAAATGAGAGTTGATAAAATTTAAAATTTTTCTTCATCTGTAAAAAAAGGTTGAAAGTAACTTATAAATATATATATATATATATATATTATAGACATAACATTAGAAATCAACAGATTTTGGTGGCGGCGATTGCCCCATTGGCTTTTATATGGGGCTGCCCTTACTTCTATATGCTCGCGCAGGGAATGAAAAACAAATTTATCTTGTTTATAGGTATCTGCCATAAAAGGAAAAAAACATATGTCACAGGGGAACAAAGGCTCTCAAAGGCCCAAAACAACAACAGTAACAACAATCGACAACATAGAATCCTAGACTGCAAGCCTTATCTGGTACACTCGCTAAACTAAAACCTTTAACACAGCTGACTTTTGGAACGGAATAAACAAATATTACAGGGTCGAAAATCCACACAGTGTCAATATCTAATGCTGTATCAATAATAAGCTTACTTGTAGGTTCCCATACCCACACCAGTCTCTCGGCCAGTATAGGGCTGGAAGCTGTTCCTGGCCTTTGAATAGCTGACATAATAGAACTGCGAGACTATGGAAGTGAACAAGATGAAAGCAGCACCTGCAGCAAAAACTCCCTTCCGAAGGGTTGCACAAGAAATTGGGTCGATGTCCGAAAGAGTCCTGTATCTTGTATGATAAGCATTCCTCACTGATCCTGCCAACAAGCATATCTCGGCTATGAAGAAACACAACCTGAGACAGTAGCAAAAAGAAGAACAGTCAGCTCAATACAACAAAAGGTACCAGGAAACTGAAACTCTTATCTTCAAATTTGATTGAGACTAAGTATTCCTGTGAAGAATGATCATATACCAGCAGATTAAGAAAAGGATAATTGCACAGGCCCTTGGACCTCCGGGGCTCAGAGGCTTTCCACAACAGAAGCAACGGCTTGCCGCCATTATGAGGATTTGACTGATCAGGAGGAACAGAAATGCGCCCGCACCAAAACCAGTTGCAATATCAGAATCATAGCGACAGTAATCATAATTGTAATCCGAGTCATGAACAACCTTGGCCTGCCGACAAACACGAGAAGAAGGGGAAAAAAATGCAATTATTGCACTGAAAAGGAGCTAAGGAACTCGAATTCAATGGCATCCCAGATAGAGTATCAATTTTTTTTTTTTTACTCGGAAGAATTGAGATCACCATTACTTGTGACATCAGAAGCATTGAGTGCAACATTTAAGAAACTAGATCTTTGGCTACAGAAATGATAAACCAATTTAGTGCATAGCAGACTAGTCCCTCCAGCGTATCAAGCATTTCTTCTAGAATACAGCGGGATATCTATATACTCCTCCGGTCCTTATTATAAGACCCCATTTAACTTTTTATTTGGTCCTAATTATAAGACCCCAATCTATTTTGTCTCTTATATTTATACATTTTTTTCCAAGATAATCCTTCTAATAATGATAGTTTTAGCCAATATACTTAATTAGCAAAGATATTTTAGGAATGACAATACTTATTTATTATAAATAACCAACTTAACTTACTTCCTTAATCTCCTCAAATAAGTCAATTGGGTCTTATAATTAGGACAGAAGGAGTACATGAACAAATCTGGAGGACTATAAGCATAAAAAAGTCCTGGAGATCTATATGCAACTCTGGTCAAAGAAATCATACTTCATCGTGAACCGAGAGTTAACTCACAAGTGAATAAGAGATTCTTCGAAGCCTTTACTCAATCACACTAGGGAGCCATCTAATTAATACGAAAGAAATAAGGTTCGGGATGATGTTTCTTTGATTCCCTTCCACATTCTTCTCGGCAATCAAGCAAAACATTAGGACCCAGATTTTTATTTCGAACGCAGAAAGAAACGAATCAGGTAGCGAGGAAAAAGGAAGAAAGCAGTGAGATCGAAATATTAACACTGCTCACCTTGCTTCTTCTCTGCTCAGCTGCCACAGCGAGCCCAAAAGCTATCAAGTCCAAGATAAAGACTATGATGATTACGAGCTTGGAAGCCATGGATGTGATTGCAGATTCAGATCTCCCACACAGATCCGGCTTTCTTCCCGCGTTATATGCTATAAGGGAATCACCGACTCGCACGCAAAAAAGGTGGCCTCAGTCGCCGATAATGCGAGCGAAGTAAGAACTGAGCTGGAAATAATATCAATAAATCAAATCAAAGTAGTAGTTTTAAAATAGGATTCCAACCCACTTTGTTTTGTTTTGTTTATTTTTTCTGACCTGGTTCCTTGGCTTGATTAGTGATCACGTTTAGTGTATTTTAACGATTTAATAATATCTTAACTTTCGTTCAGTTTTTTTAAATAGAGGACATTAAGAAAATAGGGTCACATAAAAGATGCAACCCTGATGTTAGATGATAATGAAGTGTGGATTGAAGTTAAGAGTATTAAAAAAAAAAATACGTGCAATGTATATTATTATAGATCACAAATAATAATAATATAATACAACATTACAACTTATTTATCTTGTCTTTAAATAATTCACAGGAAACATGTATGATTTATATTATAATACTTGTACAAAAAAAATCATACATGATATTATTGTATTAATTATTTTAGTAATATTTTTGTTATGTTCACAGCAATAAATATTATTCTATCACAAAACTAAAATAATTATTGCACGTCGTTTTTTTATGGGAGGAATTATTGTAACGTCTTAGAGAATGAAAGTAATTATTAAAAAGTTAAGTATCAATTAAAATTTGTTATTTTCAGTTTTAAAACTTATCATTTCTTATTGTAAAATTTATTATAAGCTTCTCAGTTGTTATGAGACATTTTTATGAATGTGTTTGGGGACCTTATTGGAATTCTCCATTTCTTTTAATATCATAACTGGACATTTTTTCTATATAGCATGAAATTATGTAATATAATTTTAAAAAATATTTTCGGAGAAGCACAATAATTAAAGGGCTAAAGGGCAATCTCCCTCCAAGCACTCTGACAGACACAATTGATATCCTTAGATGTTCCAAGGCAAAATATTCCTCCATCCTTTCCCCCGGGGGGGGGGGGGGAAGAATTTCCCTATAAATGAAGTATTGGGTATTTTTGGAGGCTTAGTATTATTTTCTGGGGAATAACCAGCTCAGGAGAACTCTACAAGAGCCGTGGTAGGTACAACTGCTCCAAAATGCTGTTAGAGAATTGATGGTATGGAAAAGAAATGAAGGGATGAGCATCAGGGCGATAATCAAAAGGCCAAATGAAGTGGACGCGTGCATTGAAGTTGATAGACGCGCACTTAAGAAAGTGACCTCCGCGTGGTTTCTTTGGGCCAAATAGCGAAGTGTATGTTTTTGCAATGGGCCTTTCATGATGAAATAATGGGAAAAACTGCTTTCATTGAGAGTCGAACTCAAGACCTCCCGCTTACTAAACGGGTGCTCTAACCAACTGAGCTATGAAAGCTAGGTGTCAGGGGTTTCTCGTTAGAATTATTCAAAGTTCTTATTCTAGCTTCACACGATGACCGTCCCAAAACAAATCCATCCCGGCTTGCTAGGCAGGAAAGGGGGGGAAAAAAATCCATCCCAGCATTCCCTCTTAATTTTTTATAAATTACATTTGCTTTTATACAATTCTATCAATATATTTTTAAATAAAAATATTTTCAATTTTTATGTTATTAATACCGACTGAATTTTATATGCATTACGAGTTTATTAACATACTCCTTCCAATTTCTAGTATAAGAATTATTTGAAGAGTTAAATTAATCCTAAATATAATATGTTAAACCCTTTTGTTTTTAATATTTATCATTTTTTCAATCTAATCTACATAACATATAAAACTGATATGTAATATGTTGCACAGTAACATATTTTACAAAAATTATATCACATTTATTATAATTAATCAATTTATCTAACTTATTTAATCTATTTAAATTAATTAAATATATCTTGACTCAACGACAACATGGAACATGAACTGGTACAAAAAATCATTAATACTAATCGATTCCTTAGGAGCAAAATTCATGGTTCAAATCTTGTAAATTGGGGGGGGGGGGAATCCACGTTAAAGAGGCCATTCCCTCTAAATATTGTAAACTTTGAAATTATCATAGAAAAGCGATTCATCGTTGATCCCATGAGGGGTTTATCGCGAGCAATGAGCTGATTTCACTTCCCGTTGGAAGAGGTCTGAATGTGTGAACAGAACACAAATTCATTCAAGTGAAATGCAAATTATGTGAAATCGTTACATCGCAATTACACCTCATCTGTTGGCATAAACGTAACACATCCTCAACGGATGCAACTTCGAAAGCCGAGTGATCCAAAAGAGAGAAAATCCTCATTATACTCACACGACCGTGATCAAATCATCTAACTCTAATCCTCTGATTCCGAGTACATAATTCAACTACTATTACATGGCGGCATCAGGGTCCAATCTTCTCTGAATAGCAGCAGCAGCCTACAGTGAAAACAATGGCAACTGAGTAGGACAGCCTTTCAAAGGCTGATGAATAAGCCTCAAATAGAACTTAGGTTCTACTCCTTACCTCAAAATTTCCAAGCTTGTATTGGTAAGCCATTTCCTCTCTGAGTTGAGCTTGCTCTTTCATTGCCTGTGCCTGCAATTCATGGCAAAAGAATTTTGGAAAAATGACTTAGCTAAGGATCAAATGAGTGACTAGAATAACTACTAGAAATCAGCTTGAAAGAAACTTCGTGAAAACAAACCATTCCACTCTGCATGGAGCGCTTTAAGGCTAGCACTTGTTCTTCCTTGTGCTTTTCACGTGCTTGCTGTAATTCTAGCCTGCAAGCGCAATGAAATCAATTATTAAAGCCAAGAATCGAGCAAGAAAATCAGGATCAGCAGAGACTAGCATTGTGTGTGCCGCAAGGAACTGTTTGACTGCCAGGGGGACTAACATTTAAGAGGTCTTATCGGTTAATTCATAACTTGCATGCATATAGGCGCACAAAAACAGAAGCCTTTAAACATAATTCCCTTGGCCTAAATATAGAATGGGGCCTAGGTAATATAGAATTAATTGGCACACAGTCAGACATACATGCACACCAATCACATCCTTGATATGTGTCATTGTCCACTGTAGTGATGAAAATTTCAAGGCATTTAATATATGGCAGAATCATGTAGATGAGAAACAATTATCAGCCTACAAAAAATTGAGAATGCACAAGAGATGCTAGGTTACCAATCAATTGTTACGGGCAAAAAAAATTGAAACGAGTCGCAATATTGCTGGTTTCTTCAGCAGACAGATCAAAATAACATATGTAACTTGAGAAAAAAGACAGCAACAATAAAACCAATTTAAATTAAAATCAAGGCATACCTTCGTTGCTCTTCATCATTAAAAACAGTACGTTCTGTTGCCGCAGCCTTCTTAAAACCTCTTTCCATCTCTTTTTCCATCTGACGCCTGTGATAAGCATCAAGGTTGTAGTACCTGCCAAATAGAATGTGGAGCATTTGTCAACCCTAAAAATGTATAAACTAGTTTATGATATTGCAATCTTAAATCCACTCATGCACTGTACAACATGCACCTTGTACATATATATTTCGGTTCGAGTATAGAAAATAACGGAGGACCAGAAAAATTCACAGGCTAGAACCACAGGTGAATAAAAGGGAGCACAAAAATTATGCAAAAATCAATTTGAATAAGCTGAACTAATGGTAAAGATCTATACTTTTTTGAGGGGAAGGTAGCTGTGTTGTGGTCCTCCATGAACCTGCATATAAGCAATTGAACAGAAAACAAACAATCAACTTAACATTGTATTGAATGTAAAACTTAGCACGTGCATACAAAATGAATCAATAAGCCAATTAAAGGGCAAGAAAATAAAGCATGCATCTTAAAGTTCATTATCAAAAAAGACCATGTATAGATAACAGACACAAAGTTCATGCACATACTCTTTGAACATCTGCTTTTCCTCCCAGTTAGAGAGGCTCTCCAGATTAACCTGTTAAGAAACGCCAGCAATCATATTAGATATTCCACATGAACATGACACAAATGTAAACTACAATAGAAGGGAAAAAGAATAATTGCAATAGATTTAGAAGATAAAGAAAGCAATGTATTCTAATTTGCTAAGGCGTACAATTTTGATCATCAACACCATCATGGAAACAATAACAATATTTCATGTGAAGAATATGGAAAAGCTTTCCATCTGAAATGTTAAAAAATCAACTTTTCTAATTTCCCGCAAAATGGATAAAGCACCAAATATAATGAACAGCTAAGAGGTAACATCACATTTGTTATTTACAGAGTGAAAAAGAACAGAATAAATACCTGCTTTACTTCTGCCAACCATGCAGTGAACTCTGGTCGTTTGTTCCTGTAATATTCAGAAAATCAATCAGAGAACAGATGATGGAAGGGTTAATTCACAAGAAATAACAGCTACAAGTGCTGGTTATTAATGATCCGACAATAAAATTTGTCTGACAATTTACTGCCTCCGAACATTCACGGCTGTCAATCTAAAATATCTTGTGATAAGCATTGGTAACTGATGCCCTGAAACGAGAGTCTAAACAAATCAAAGCTTTTCCACAAGAAAAATAACAGCAGGACCTTACAATCCACCCAAAATGTTCACAATCAGTAGGCTACAATTTGAAGTATATTAGCAACCTCCCTGATCACACACAGCCTCGCAAGTCGCAAGAAAAACATACGAAATCACATGATATGTACATCTTATGAATTTCAACAAAAAGCAAATGTTTTCATTGGAGATTTTACAACTAGACAAAAGAAAAACCTTAATCACTTACCACATATCAGTTTCTCTGATAATACCATACTTTCCCCATGAATTCGTGACTGCACCCTTCTTCCCCCTTTCTTTCTTTTCCTTCTTCTTTTTCTTCTTCTTTCTTCCGTTTATCCTCTTTCTCCTTTTTCCGCCTCATCCTCTCCTTCTCTTTCCTTCTTCGCTTCCGCTCCCTCTCTTCCTCCTTCTCTTTCCTCCTTCTCCTCTCCTTCCTCTTCCTTCTCCTTCTCTCTTCCTCACTCTCAGACTCCTCAGAACCCAAGCTTTCCGACTCGGAATCC